CACACACACACACACACACACACACACACACACACACACACACACACACACATCCATGGCAACAGGAACATCAGCTGCTTTCTCCGTGCTTGTGTGAGAAGTCATGCTCGTGTGAGGGCGTTTCACCTTTAACCGACTGGATGACGATCCGGTACCCGTGGACAGCAGACACCGGCCTCCAGGACACACAGATGCTGGAGTGGTCTGACCTCACCACGCTCACGCTGCTCACCCGTAGACTGGCTACACAGAACCACAAACAGGCCAGCAGGTAAAAATGATGCCGAAAAACTAGTCCATGCATTTGTTACACAAACAGGCCAGCAAGTAAAAATGATGCCGAAAAACTGGTCCATGCATTTGTTACTTCTAGGCTGGATTAGCTCAGGTTCGACTCCACTTGACGGTTAAATTTCCCTGAAAATATAGGATTTGGTATCTTTCCCACCATGTGGAGGAAAGCAACCCGGAGGTTGCATCCCCCTTTGTGTTGCAGCTTTGCGTGTTCGGCTCACCAGTTTTTCCTTGTGCTGAGCCGCTGCCTCCCTCTGTGTTGCGATACTCTGCGGTGACCAAGATGCTGTAACGCGTGTCTGGCTGCAAAGACTCAAGAAGCACCTGCTTATCAGCACCTGGGACCAGCACCTGTCACAGTCACAGACGGGGAAAATATGACACGTTTGCACCCTTTGAAATCAACTTTCCTCATTTCGATAGCGTGTAAACCTCAAACTGATGTTAACATCAGAAAAAAGGATAATCTTTGGGTTTATTCTTCTTTTCAACCTAACTTTTTGGGTGCGTTTTATTTAATTAGATGTAGAAAGGTGTGTATTAATTCTCTTAAAAACCATTTAACATGTTCTTCTGAATAGGTAAAATCAGATAATTCAAGATGCAAATTTGACAGAAATTAAAGTTTGTTAATTGGTGTACCAACGCGTGAAATTGTGGGTAATTCTGCATAAATCTTCTAGCGTACAGTGGGGGAAATAAGTATTTGACCCCTTGCTGATTTTGCAGGTTTGCCCACTTACAAAGAATGCCTATTTTTCCTCATCAGATGGTTATCAATTTTTATAAATTTATATGATGAAATTTTCTGGAATTTTCTTTGGGATTCTGTCTTTCACTGATAGAATGTACATATGATTAAAGTTATAGATCGTTGCATTCTTTGTAAGTGGGCAAACCGGCAAAATCAGCAAGGGGTCAAATACTTATTTCCCCCACTGTATATGACATAAAAGGACACAAAACAACAACAGAAAAATAAAGAGAAAAGAAGAAGAGTGTATCTACGTGACTGTGTGTGTGATTGTTGCCCTGCAGGATGCAGAACAGAGCAGCTAAAAGGATGTAACTAAAGCCCTGCATTTTAGATGGGGTGATAAATCGTCAGTTAGAGAGCTAAAAGCATGACAACGTATGATCACGGCGCACTCACGGTGCCGTCCTGAGTCTCGGCTCCGGTCAGCGCCGTGTACGTGACGCGGTAATGCAGCACGTGCGCGTTGGGGGGCACCCAGCTGACCAACAGGCTGACTGCCGTCTCCTCAGACACCGTCACGCCGGAGGGGCCTCCACCCGCCACTGCAGAGCGAAAAACAGAGCAAAAAACATGAGTTCTTCCTTTAGGCAAAACACACAAGAAGGCCACTAAGAATGTGAAGTTTGAAAACTTTTTTACTTAATGCAAAACGCATAAAAAAACTGAGATTTAAGCATCATGGCTCAGTGTTTCAAGTGGGTCTTTCATACTTCAAATAAGAGGTTGTAACTCTGAGAGACAAAGTTTGAAATAATGTTAGGGTTAGGCTTGTTCCAATCCGATATCTGGATCGGATCGGCCGCGGATATTTGCAAAAAAATGCGTATCGGACGGCAGGAGAAAATGCAGATCCGGACTCCCACACGTGAATTAGCATTAGCATTAGCATCTCTTAACCCACAGGTCTGTGTCCTAACCATTAAGTTGATATCAGAGTAAATCCCTGTTCAACATGAGTCTGACAACTAATTAAGTAGATAAATAACTTTAAACTTTAATACATGCTCTGATAGGCCTGGATCGGGATCGAAATTTAAAAAAGCTGGATCAGGACATCCCTAGTTAGGGTTAATGTTAAATGTACGTATGTGTGAAGACATTTTCAGGAGACAGGAGCAAGTTGCGATGATGGGGACAGCAAGCCCTGGCAGATAATGACTCTCCTCTGCCGGTCACAGCATTTGGAGCGCAACCATAACACTCACGGGTGCTGTAGCGAATGGCCACAGCTTCACTCTGAGCCCCGTCTCCATAGAGGGCAGACAGAGAGATCTGGTATTCTTTATCATCCTCTACACCCTCCAGAATAACTCCTTCACTGTCTCCATTCACGCGCAACTAAAACACAGAAAGAAACACGTTTTAAACCTTTTCCCGACAGCTGCTACAAACTGAGCACTCTTATGTATTCGGGGAGGCCTCTCCACCTGTCTCAGGTCTCCTCCACTTAAAGAAATCCACTTTATGAGGTAAGAAACAACATCGTCTGCCGCAGCCTCCCAGCGCACCGTGATGTCACTGCCTGAGAAATTGGTCACCCTCAGGTCGGAGGGCGAAGGCACTTTCACTGTGCGGAGAAGGAAAACGCAGGAATGAAATCAACAGACGTTTGTTTGGATGAGCTGTTCCACATCCCCGTTACTGCCGAGTGTCTCACAGGTGGTGACGTTGCTGGTGACAGCCGCTGACAGTCCCTGTGGGTAGTGAGACTGGACAGACACCAGGTATCTGGACAGAGATGAGAGGTTCTGCACCAGCACAGAGTTCAGCCCCGTCACCTCCACCTGTGCAGAAGGATCAGATTATGCTTATGCTTCATTGGTAACACCAGATCGAAAACACTATGGTGACCTGGCTGAAGAAGGATTAATAAAGTCATTTTGATTGACTGAACACTCTCCAGAGCTTCATGCGATACAAATCCCACATGGATTAATTGCTGAGCCTCATCCCAACTGGAGAAAAATAAACAGACTAGAAATATGGTAAACAATCAAATATTATAAAACAAACAGATAAAAGACATTGATGTTCAAATAGAAAATGAATGACTGAAACACAAAAGGCCCCCAAAGTCTGGGCCTGCTCAGAACCGGTTTGAATAGTGTCCACCTCCGGGGTTTTGACATGTGGACGGTTACCTGCTTGGTGTCACTGCCGTGGTTGGTGCTGTACGTGACCCTGTGGGCCGGGACATCCACAGCACCAGGCACCCAGCTCACCCTCAGCGTACTGTGGGCGACCAGAGGGAACTGAACACTGACTGGTGCTGGGAGAGGGACTAAAGGGAGAGAGGAGAAGCTTTAAAGGGGTAATCTATGGTGCAGAAATCAAATTTTAGAGGGGAAATGGAACAGGTTAAGAAATTGACATGGAGGCAAATTGGAAACACACAGAAAAGTACAGAAAAAAGAGGGTGTGGAGGATAAAATGGGAGCCATGGAAAAATAAAAGAGAAGGAGGAGGTTTTTACATGTGGTGGCAACAGAAGTGACGGGATCACTTGGATCTTCGTCATAGAGCGCGTAAAGTGTGACGGAGTAGTCTGTTGCCGGCAGTAACCCGGCCAGCTCCACCACAGTCTGATCCGCCCTGAACTTCTCCTGCACGCACAAAACACAAAACACAAACCTGGAGCCAAACAAGCTTACAAGTAAAGCTTGTAAATCAAGAGCATACAGCCGCTCTGCTCCCCAGAAACATCCACTCACTCCCCCATTTCAAATCACAACTCAAAACACATCTGTTAAAGACTGCCTTTTCTATCCGAGGCTTCTTGATAGTGCCACTGCCCCTGACTATTTTATTGAGTTCATTGTTGTTTCTTTTAATGCATTTTTGTGTATCTCTGTGTCCTTGACTGCCAAAAAAAGCTCCTTCAAATACAATATATTATCATTAAACATGCGGCCGTCTTAGTTCTGAAATGATCACCACCAGCCAACAAGAGACATCTCTCCGTTTCTTTGTCTCGAGCCCTCTCTTGATGAGGCCACATCCCGTTTGAATTCTGCACATCTCACCTCCTTTGCGTCGTCGGGCTCTCCGTGGCTGAGTGCTGAGTACAGGATCATGTACTGAGTGGCGCCAGCCGCTGGGCTCCAGCTCACTCGCAGCGTGCTGTAGGAGGAGGGAGTCACCTCCAAGTCGGTCGGCATGGCCAGTGCCACTGAAAGGGAGTGGGGGGGGGGGTAAGACAGATACAGTCAGAGGTAACATTCATCCCCCTTTGTCTACATTTAATTCCCTTCCTTTTGTTTCATTCACCATCTTTTGTGTCTGACCAATTTCAGAGGAATCCTGGTTTATTTCTGTTTTCTTGTAGTACAGTTGTGGTGTTTTTGTGAGCAAGTGTTTTCCTGTTTTGTTTTCTGGCCTGTGGGCTTCTTCTTTCCCCATTCCTCACCCACAGTTTTCTCAGCCACCATGTTCTGGTTCATTCGTGTTCATTCTTCTCAGCTGCTGTTATTCACTAACCAGTATTTTAAGTTTCCCTTGTTTTCAGATCTTTTTGTGTTTTGGCATCTTTTCATGCTCCGGTTCTGCCATGCGTTTTGTTTTGGGTTAAAACTAAACTCTGGTCATCGGATGTGTCTGCATCAACAGCATTGTCCCAGAAACAGTGACATCTTCATCATTCAAGCATCAAAAAGTCCCTGAGCTAATAAAAAAAAAAAAAAAAAAACAAGCACCGTGTCTAAACATAACAGAGAACTTTTCATTTATTTTCTATATGAAATGGAATATTTAGGAACTTTGTCCTCTGAAAACATCTGCAGAAATGAGAGGTAGTTTATACAAATATCACATGAAGAAAGACATAATTTCCAGGAAAAATGCATGAGTGAAGTGAATGCGTGAAGTCCGGCTTACAGGTGGTGACGGTTCCTCTGAGCGCCAGGCCGACGTTGTCTGCATACACCGGAAAGATGGAGATGTGGTAGAGCGTCTGAGACGAGAGGCCATCAAGCAGCACCGTTGATTCAGAGCCGGACACCACCACCTGGAGACGAGCACCAAAGGGGTTAGAGAGTCGGAGTTAGCCCCTTCTCTTGTTATCTTTTATACTATTTTTCAGCAATAGCCCAAAATAGAAAACTTTTTCTAAAATTTGCCGAAAGAAATTAGCTAAATACGACGGACTGTCCCATGTACGGGCGAAGGGAGACCATCTGACCTCATGGGGACTCTGGCCCTCGGCACTGTGGTACACCACCCTGTACTGCTGGACGGGCTCGGACGGGTTGATCCAGTGCAGCTGCACCTCTCTGGATCCCAGGTCAGAAAAGCGGAGATCAGTTGGACTTGGGTAGGAGAGGGCTGGGTCTGCTGTGGGACCAGGCTCCATTCCTGGAAGCAACACAAGCCCTTGATGTCATAAGTTTGTACACGGACAGGTTGACAGTCTGATGGTTACACATTTCGTACCCCCTCTACAGCTTTTATATATTTGGGTAGAAAAACCCAAATAAAAGTTTGGATCATGTCAAATGAGCAACAGATGACAAATCACACTATTCAAACGAATTAAGACGAAATACTGAAGCCCCCCTACAGCTTGCATAAGGCTGAGTTCTGGGCTCAGATGGACCAATCAGCATCTTGGTTCCTTCCTCTTTCAGACTCTCTGCTGTAGATCTGCTGCTGTGTGTAGATCTTTGTCCTGTTGGGGAGCCAGTCCCAGCTTCAGCTGTGGGACAGACGGCCTCCCATCTGGTTCTGAACACGTTGCTACCCAGAGGAGTTCATGGTGGCCTGCCAGGTCCTGATGCTGCAGAACCAGCCCAGATCATCACCCCTCCCCCGCCGTGCAGACGGCCGTTTGGTTTGTGTGCATTCTGACCAAACATCACCACTTTGCTCTGCTCTCTGATCAGATGCATGCTCTGGAAACACTTTTTCCAAAGGAGAGGATTTCTCCTGCAGCCCAAACAAACAAGCCATAGCTGCTCGGCCCATCCTGACTGTACTGTCATAATTTTTTACCTTTAACCTGCTAACTGAGGCCGGTCGAGCTGTAGCTCTGGGGTTAACTGGCTGACCGGACCTGGGACGTCCACTCCTGTTCATTTTGACAGCGGTCTTAAATAAATAATCTCTCTCTTTGTTGTGACAATGGACTCCAAACAGCTTGCAAATGACAAAAGCAACAATTGCTTTTCTAAGGCTGATGTGTTTCCTCCTTGGCATTGTCTTGAATGCTTAAGTGCTTTTGATGAGCAGCACCTTGCTAATGTTCTTAAATAAGTGTGCTGGATTTGGCTTTGGTGTTGTAAATGAATAATGAGTAGTGTACAATTTGATGATCTCATGTTAAAGAACAAGAGGATGTGATCCTTTTTGTTTCATGATGTAAAACCTTATAATTGGGCTTTTTCTGCATTACGTTTTGAGATGCCGCGGTCTTCTATCCTCCTACACAGGATGTGGACCAGTCGTGCCACCAGCTTGCTGAGCAGAGGAAAGTCATTCACGTTGTAGACGTTCACATCCACGGGCTCCGAAGCCACCTGTCTCAGCTCGGCTTCATCTGCGTTCTTCACCCCTGAACCACACAGGGTAATAAAACAGATTATCCTCTTTATGATTTAACAGGATCCGCTTTGTGGTGACCAGCCACAGCCTCACCTACAGCGATGATTTCCACGCCTGAATTCTTCAGCCGGTTTCCCGCTGCAATGGCGTCATCCTGAGATTTCCCGTCGGTCAGCAGCACCAGGAAAAACGGCGTGTCCGATCTGGCGCCCGCCTCCGGCCTCATGTTCTCCTCCATGACGTGGAGCAGGGCCTGTCCTGGGGGGACAGCGGCCGGTTAGGCACCGACGGTAAATAAGACCACACACAGCTATGAGGCCGCAAAATGCTAGGGGTTCGTACCTGTAAACGTGTTTCCTCCTTTATACCTAAAATTTCTCACCGCCTCCAAAATCTGGTCTTTAGTGGTGAAGCTGTTGAGCTGCCACTCAGTGCGAGGGTCTCCGCTGTACTGGGTCAAAGCTGGAATAAAAAAAACACCTCATTAGATGTGTGGCCCTACAGGTATTGGCCCTACAGGTAATTGGCCAGTGGTTTTCAAAATGTCTTTTTAAAATGAAAGTTACGGAGCTGATTAAAGTTATATTTCTAAATATCATTAACATGTAATAACATTGTAGTGGCTTAATACCTTTTTCTTCAAAATTTTAACCTTTTCCTTGCCATTCTTGCAGGACGTAAAGGTTTTTACTCGTTCAGCTTGGTTTAAAAACGTACGCGAACCAATGTAAAAAATGACTTCAATTTATTACGAATGTAAATTTACAAAAAAATGCCAACATAAAGCAAAACATTTACTTCATGATAAGTATAAACCAAAACGTAAGCCTTACGGTCAAAAAAGTCTTGCTCCTCGCCCTGCTCCATTACCAGAGTATTCTTACGTACTCTGCGCATGCGCACTTTAACAGACAAAACTGCGCAGCTTTCGTTACTTAAACACAGGACATTAAAGGAGCTTCATTAAAATGATAAATCAAAATACCAAATGTAGAAAACGATACAAAATAAAACCAAATGCCTCTTAATAAAATAAACAGTATACATTCCTCGTAACTAAATTATTCTATTCAGCAGTCAATAAAACACCATTTCTACATGGGTCTAACAAACATATTCAACAGTTTGCTTTGCCACAAACTGCATGTGCCTGTCAGTCAATGCAGAGCACATATGTCAAAGTCAAGGCAAGGAATTGATTATCTATGGCCCCCTGGATGATTTTAAATTATTATTAGAACCGGCCCGCGGGCCACAGCCGCCCGCTGGTGTTTTGCACGCGCCAACACTACATTTCCCACAATGCAACGGTCGCCCGCGAAGTCACTGCAGCGCGCACAAACGGCTTCATTCGTTCAGAGCAGAGATCGACTTTTTGATACCCCCTCCTCAAAAATGACTAAACGTAAGGTGGACGCTGAGAACAGCGGGTTTCAGGCCGGGTGGGAGGCAGAGGACATGTTTACGGAGGTAAAAGGCAAACCTGTGTGTCTTCTGTGTGGAGAAAGTGTGGCTGTAATGAAAGAATTTAATTTAAGAAGGCACTATCAAACGTCTAAAAAACACACAGACAAAGACAAGAATATGGAATATGAACAAAAGCTACAGAAGGTGGAAGAATTAAAACGAGGCCTTAAGCCCAGACAGGCTATGTTCACATATGCTAAATCACAAAGTGAGGCTGCTGTCAAGGCTAGCTTTATGGTGGCAAAAGAAGTCGCAAAATATTCATTATTTTTTAATTTTACTATTTGAAAGCAGTGATCGGTAGATCATAGAGCAGCACAATAATACATTTTCAGTTTATAATGCATTCACTTTTATTTATGCATTTATCTTGATATTAAGAAACACATTTTGTTTAAAAAAACAATTGAATTTTTTGCTGTTTGGCTGTTGAAAATGTTTTCCCTTGAAGTTACCGACAGAGCCATAACAAAATATTGCCATATTCATTTAATAATTGTGAATATGTGTGAATAGGTCTTGGTTCAATATGTGCAATCGTTTCGATACGTTTTAAACATTGAACCAGTCCGGCCCTCGGCTTGTAGCAAATTTGTTTTTTGGCCCTCAGTGTGTTTGACTTTGACATCCCTGATGCAGAGGGAAGCACGCAACTCAACTCAGGTAATTAAATTAGCATCACTGCCGTCAACACTGTGGTTCTTACCAATCTGAATGTGGGCCGGCCCAATATGGAAAGGCGTAACCAGCCCTTCCAAGAAGTCTCTGACCCGCCTGAAGTTGGTGCGTCCGATGCTCCAGGAGCCGTCCACCAACAGCACGATGTCGGCTGCTGCGTCGCTGCTGCACTGGTATGGTTTCCTTGGAGACGGCCCTTTCATTTGGAGGGACGGAAGGAGAACAGACTCAATCCGAGAGCAATAAGAGCAACCTGAACAGTATTTCACATCCTTTTGTATCATCTCATCCACTTTCATGTTTTTCAATCAGCTAATAGATGAGTGCATATTAGGCGGGAAAATGTTGGTGCGTGTTTTTCAGTGCATGCAAGGCTCCAAGTACCTTTTTAGATAATAAAGGAGAGAAGATGTATGCAGCCTGGAGCTGAAGGAGATGGTCTGTTATTACCCATTACCTGTCCCTCCCTTGTGTAATCACTGTAATCAGACTTCAGACCATTACTTACTGTTCTCAACCCTTTTTGCTGTCAAAGTGGAGGTGAATATACCCAAAAAGTAGATGGAAATTCTCAACTTTATGCTTCAAGAGGTTTTTTAATATCCCCAAAATGATTTAAAATCAGTAATACCACCTCAAACTTTGTTTTAAAGCTAAAATTCCTTGTTACCTGTTACAGGCTGTGTTGGGAGGGATGTCTTCCGGGCTTTTTCCTCTGTGACTTTGCCCTGTTTCGTCCCCTGCTCCTCCTTCTTCTCCACCGTGGAACGGTGCCTTTCTTTGTCCTTTTTTCTCTTCTTCTTCTCTTTGGTGGTTTTCTCCGAGGCCTCATCTGTGACTTTATACGGCGTTCCTGTTGTTGAGGGCTCTGGAGGTCAGAGGTAGTTACTTAAACAAGTGGGCACCCTTACACACATATGTCAAGATTATTAAGGGGATCAAATTAGGCTATATAATAAGCTAGAGATATGGTTTGCCCTCATTAAGCACTCATAGCAAAGATTTCCTAAATATTTGTATCCTGTTCCCTAGCCATTACCCCAATTATATATGCTTTTACCCTTAATTAATCTAGTCATTAACCACGTTGAAGCTTTTATAAGATTACTGCTAATGGAATGACTGGTCCACTTAGAGAACAAACGGTGGTGTGGTGCCCTTTAAAAACAAGCATTAGTCACTCTAATTTGAGAAAGACAGGAAGTTTCTTTAACTCATTGGCTGCCAAAGACGTCTATAGACGTCTTTTATGTTTTTCAACGAGAGTGGCTGGGGGACGATCTGCTAAAGCTTGTCCGTAAATATCAGGCTTTTAGACAGAGTATGTAGTAACAAATTGACCCTCTAGGTAGCAGTGCCACTTTCGATGGGAGATGAGCATAGACTGTAGGCTAATAAGAAAAAGGTAACGGTTCGCTATGAGAGAACATGTCGCCGGTGAGACGCAAGTCGAGGAAGAACGGAATAAGGTAGAAACTATTTTTTTCCTGATGAAAGAAGAGAGTCTACTCTTTCTTTTGGTGTGTTCGGTGTTTACATAGTCGTAGCACAAACTATTCAGTGGCTCTTGAAAAATCAGTCAAAATGCTCAAAAAACTCTGGCAGTATGGGACTCTCTGTTCTGAAAATGGCTGGCAGTCAATGAGTTAACATCAAGATATTTCTGCTCTGCCTGGATAAAACTACCGGGCTCTCTGAGCACATTTCTTACAGCTAAACCATCTTGAGTACGCAGTGAATCCATGACTGCCTTCCTACAGTTTATGTGAGGAAGGATTAATATGGGAGTCTGTCTGCAGGGTTATCTACTACCAGCATCCAGTACCCGTGTCTGGGGCGGCAGCCGCCGTTGGGGTGGTGGAGTCCGGGTACAGAACGGTTGGCCGACCCAACAGGACATCTGCTGCCTCGTCCAGATCCCCGGAGCCCGACCCTCCGGGCAGCAGCTTCTTCTTCTGCTCGCGGCTGCCGCTGCGGATCGTCTCCTCCTCCTGCAGGCCCTCCACTGCCAGACAGAAAGTGGAGCGCAATGACCCAGAACAATCTTTTGACCCTGTAATGCCAAATGTATCATATTTGATACATACGGTTTCTGAAGTGTTTTGTGTCTGACACCTTTTGCATAATTTAATGGTAAAAACTTTGATCAAAATCCTATTGTACACAATCAGATATACCTGATAACAGGGGGCAGAAGACTACACAAAAAATAATCTTGACTTATCGCATAGTAATTAATTATTAATATAAAAAATGTATTTCTTTTTACATATTATGTTAAAAGGCCATATAAGGAATTCAAACAAAAAAAAAGTAATTTTCTGTTTTGTTTTAATGTTGGATCAGGCTTGAAAGGGTTACGTGATGCAAAACGATCCCCCTGAATCAAAGTTGCACAACCACACGGGCAGCCGTTGTTTTCAACACCTCTGTGAGCTAAAAGCTGAGGAAATAAAGAGCCCAACGTTCCATTTAAAGACGTGTTTATATTATCATACAGGCTCAAATTTAGAACAGAACAATGATCAAGTTCGAGGTTAAGATGGAGCCATGTTTGTACATAGCTCATCTCACAGGTGGCGTTTGAAAATCCTTGCCTGGAGTCCAGAAACAAGGTGAACAGCGGCATAAGGAAGGTGACATTTTTCAGGAGGAAGAATTGCCTGGACTTGGCAGCTCAATGCCGCGGCAGACTGGACTAAGTACAGGGCCCCGGGGCCGCTCCAGCAAACGGTAAACACACCAGGGAGGAATTCCCAGACTGCCATCATTCCATCCTGACAGCTAGTGTTGCAAATTTTCCAAGTCAAGGTGTTTTTCTGGCCTGCCCGGGCTCGCTCAGCCCGACACTGTAACCTACTATCACCGGCAAGGCTCGCAGGTAACCGCAGGCTGCATGTTGTACAATCCCATTTGAGTTCTGGGAAAAAACTGGACGGACTGACAATAAACCCCGAAAGCGAGAGAGGTTCTTAATTCAGCGGAAAAGTCGATCATTTTCCTCTGAAAACCGTTTTCCTCGCTGCTTCTCTCAAGCGGACGCAGAGTTGGGAGGGAGACCATTATCATGGCAGCCTTTGTGAGGCAAATCTGACTCCAGTGAGCACAAATAACTGCTTGCTTTTAGCCTGTAATGGACCTCGAATGAGTTTTGAAGGAGCTAGCAAACTAGCCGAATCAATGACCGAGTTCGTTTACAGTAAAAACGTATTTCAGAGTTTTTTTCAAATGAGTCCTGAGTTACTGTGTTTCTTACTGGTGAATCGTCTCTTTGCCAGAAGTTTCTCTGTTGTGCCGTTGAGTACGAGGACTTGGAGTGAATACTCCTGACTGGAGTCCAGTCCGGCCACCGTCGCCCTGCCCCTGGTGGTGGTCAGCATTAGCTCCGGTTGCGGCACTTCTGGAAAAGAGGCATTTTGAATGGCAGATGTCATTTTTAGAGGTCTGAGCAGACAGTTTATCTGCGTGATGGTTTCAGGCTTCTGCTGGATTTTTTTCTTTTCTCACTCTGAATGGAAAATAGTTACATGATCAAGTTGTGATTGTTGAAAAATCAAACAGGATCATCATGTAACTGAGTTGGTAAATGGATTTTGTAAACTCTGCCGACCTGTCCAGTGTGTACCCCGTTTTGTTGTTGTTTTTAAAAACACAGCACAGTTTTTGCGACACCATTTAAAGGGTCTGATTTCATCCTGCATCTTTTTGCCCTCACGCATGACGCACAGTCTTGGCAGGTCTTCTCAGAGCTGTACTTCCTCTCTCCTTTAATCTCTTTAGCACCACCTTTCATCTTTGCCTGTCCAAGAACCTCCGCTTTTAGGCACAGCAAGCCTGAAGCAGGACCAAATTTTTCCGCTAAGCCCCAATTCTTGCTCTCTCTTTCAGACCTGCCCGGGCTTAGCTGACAGGGTAAAACAACGTCAGGAAAGTGGTTAGTAGCCCAGATGAGAAAGAAATAAGGAGAATATTAACTTAAGAACAATGTGGCTGATACACTTATGGAAGTCTGGATTGATGTTAGAAAAATTAATCTTTGCTGCCTCACTGACCATTTCTGTTCATGAAACATAAACACAACATTTATTTTCCTGCTTGCAATTTAGATTATGAGAAATTTCTCTAAGATTCCTTTCAAACATCCCACCTGAAATCGGTCTCACTCGGACTTTATAGCCCTGAATGGGACCGTCAGCCTCCCTCCACTTCATCTGAAGTCTGTCCTCAGACAGAACCGTCAGCTTCAGGCGACCTGGACGGGGAAGAGAAATCAAAATGAGGATTTCCAGGATCACAAGACAGTTGTGTAGGTCAAGAGAGAGGTCACATAAGACAGGATTTTTTTAACGATCAAAGACTCGAGCTGGAAACCGTCTTCATTCCTCTCGCTCGTCGGGGCGGTCTAACCCAGATGACTTCCTCCTCCACAAATCAAATCCATCTTTTGTTCTGACTCCATCTACATAATTTCCAGCAGGGGCTTCCAAACAAGCGAGGCCTTTCATGTGCTGGCCACCCCGTCCTCGTCCATCAAAGCGAGCCCTGTCCTCTCGGCTGTAGCAGAAACGGGAACAGGACGCCGGTTTAGGGCCTCGGGGCCAAAGGTCACGGCAGAGGAGTGCTACGGAGTTACAGTGGCTCAGGGGACTTCATGTAATATGTAATGGAGTAATGCATTGGGAGGAAGACCATGGGGGAAGGGGGGGGGCAAGAACCAGGAAAGACAAGAGAGCGCTAACATGGACGCTGGGCGTCACAAAACGCTGCTTGTGACACTTCTGTGGACGTCTGACCCTGTGCGCTCAGCAGATCCTTTTCCGGCTTGAATATGTGTTTCTGTGTGTGTGCGACAGACTGAGAAGACCAGGGGCCTCCGGAGGGTCTTCACCAGAGGATCAGAAGGGTCTGAGGGGGGACTGGTGGAGAAAGGGTCAAGGTCTTCCGAACCCACAACAGCATTTCCAGACGGCCCCTCAGATCCGAGGAGCAGCACAGTGACGGTGTTGTTCCCCCGACGCTGTGGGCTGAGATCAGTTGTTTTGGCTTTCGTTTTTAACTCTGCATCTAACTAATAAGCTCTTTGTGTTTCTGTGTGGTTAAAAGTCCCAATAAACAGAAAAATAAATGCAGAAATTGGTCATTTCCCAGAAATGACGTGATTTTACTCCACAGTAACTTCCTGCTGTTGCAAACTGGTAAAACTACTTCACAAAACTTAAATAATACATTAAGCGATTTGATCCAACTATGAATTCGAACTGGAATTATAAAAAATTCAAGCTTACAGCTTTACTAGATGTAGTATTAAGGTGTATTAGGTGGAACCCTCTTACATGGTATGTTGAGACCTAAGTAGGAATAGCATATTCTGAAATAAACATAAAAAGCAAAGTCTTATTGTGTTACTCTACAGATTAAATGTGCCAGTATTTAATAGCCACGAATGGTTCAATTAAACGTGCTTTTTCTTTTAAGGCTGCCGGCCATGTTTCCAGTCATGGAAATTAATATCAAGGCTTCAACACCTGAGTGGGAGGAGAAGAAATGTTAAAATATATGCTAAATAAAAATGCTATAATCACACGCTTTTGAGAACATTTCAGACTATAAATAATCCATTAGCCATAAAATTGTATTTCCCTGAGAGCTTGAAGATCAGCTCATTGTGGGAACAGCTGCCTGTTCATAAGGATTTAAACTGCTGTATGTAAAGATGGAAATGGTTTCCGAGTGATGCTGTAGCTGCATAATCTAACGATATGTTTGCAGCTGCAGTTTTCAATCAACTTTGCAGACGGAAATTGTTGGTTTTGCTGGGATTTTCACATTAAATGCATCATTCAGAGGAGAATGAGCAGGCTGTGTCCAACACAGTAAAGTTCAGGTGGAGCCTCCAGTCTCTGCAACCTCAGGCGTAATCAGACGGCGGTTTCAGGCAGGTTACCTTGGCCGCGGACCCCCGAGGACCGGAGCAGGAGGACACTGAGCAGGAAGCACAGCATTCCCCAGGAAGGTGAGCATAATGTGGCAAAATGATTAGGAGACATGAGAGGCGCCTAAAACCAAGACAAAAAAAAACATTAGTACAGTATTACAGGCATTTATTCTAGGAATAATTCTGGCACAAGTACCAATGTCCATGGCTGAGGAGAGCAATAAGGAGGAATTATCCAGAACCGGCTGGTATCGGGTATCAATTTTACAACATGAAACTGTGAAAAGGATACAAAGACCACAAAAATCAAGGACAGCCGATGAGAAGGAGCAGAAAGGGACCTGCACTGAAGAGTCGGGCTGCTTTCTTTTAACCACAGAATTAAATGACACCCACCAAATTTTGCCTATTATAGAGCTCAATTATCAGCTCGATTATCACAGTGCAAAATGTGGAGTCTGCATCCCCATGCCAACACTCATTCCCCCTGATGGGGGTGTCCTATTTTTTCTTTCTTTTAGGTCCATTTAAGAGCTAATTACCCCTATGTGATGAAAAACATGATGAATCACTGAATCTGACACTTTTTGCCTGCATTTCTGGCGAGAAATAACATTCAAAACTGATGCGGTTAAGACCAAATTCCAGTCTGAGCAAAGCGGGACATCAATTTTATTAAAAAACTAAGAAGAACTTAGAACAATGCAGAAGAACTGCAAAGCTAAGAGCCAATGAGAAATATACTTCTCTTTATTCTTTATTTATTGTTTGGGATCTTTGTATTGCAACAAAAAAATCTCCTCAAACTGATTTTCTATTCCATTCTTAATGGTATCCTGAACGACCATGTAGATGTTTCTATGGTTATAAAAATCTGTATTTTAAAAAACTTGAACTATAGTTGACCTGTTGAATATCGAGGTGGTCAAAAGATGAGAAGACAGAGGAGGAAAGTGGACTTCTGGGCCGGGTTGCTGTTTTGGTAGAGTTTGGACGACTTTTAAAGTTGCCGAAATATAATGTGTCGGATGTAATTTAGTCTCCTCGAAGACTTCGTTAGAGAAAATGCTCAAACTGACGCAATGCAACGCCTATAAGTGCGCAAATGACGATAAACTATTGTTTGTAATGATAAGTCTCGTGCATTTTTTCAATATTTCACAACATTTAAAGACAACAAAGCTGTCTGCTCTGTAACGGGGTGGCCCAGGTAACGCGAACATGGCGCAAATAGTTGTTTATTTGGGGACATTTGTGTCTCTTTGTGCGTCTCAGATATTGGGAGCAGCCCCGGAACTGTTTAACCTCCTCCGAGGCCGTTTACCTGAGGCCCTGGGCCCGGGAACGCGGAGTTAGCTCAGCCTTACCTGGCGGTTCGGTGAGTCCGGGTTAGTCCTTCCGAAAAGTCTCCGCGCGGCATTCCAGAGGTGCGAGGTCGGCACGCGCAAGTTCCGCTAAACTGGGACACGGGCTCTTTTCTTCTCGTGGGCTTGTATCTGGAGGGGGTGGAATTCGAGACCAAATGTCCTCCTTCTGCCCCGACATGGGCGTGGTGTTCAGGGAGGGCTCCGGGAAATCTTTTCGGGCCGCGGAGCGATACCTGCAGGGGTCAGAGGCCACCAGGTGGCTCACGCGCTCTGTGAGGGGCGCGCGAGGCTTCTGCCCACGCGCCGCTTCAGGGCCAGCTCGGGTTTTAGGGGAACGGGTTTGTTCCCTGCGGACTTTCTTAGGTCGTCCAAAGTTTCCCTTTGGCCATTCTCTGCCTTTTGACCAATTTTCCTCTGATAATTTTCAGAAGAATTTATGTTTTCTTAAGACACAAAACCCTGAACAGTGAAGTCTAAAAAAGGCACATAATTGTCATTTTGAACAGACAAAATGATTTTTCTCTTAGTATAAATTCTGCAAATTGTCCTGAAGGACTGAAGAGATCTACTCCATCTAAACGAGCAGACCATCAAGGACATTTTGTTGATCATGTTGGTTGTAAAAAAACAACAAATTGATAAAAAATTATTAGATTAGATTTATTTTAAAAAGTTTTTAAAAAAATATGACAACCTTTTCTTCTTTTGTCATTTCAAGAGAATGTCAACAATACATATTTTGCAGGAAAATCAAGATAAAACATTAAACTTTTTTTTTTAAACTTGAGCAATTCCCTTATTTATCCATCTACTCCAGATGGATGCTACAGATAGCTCCTCTGAGAAGAAACTTACACCACTACTAAGGCACAAGAGGGTCCTCTTTGAATGAAACTCAATAGGTGACTTTAGCGTTTGATTCCTCGAGCCTGAATATTTTCAACTATTCAAACAGTAGAAGAAAAAAAAATCTATGGTAGAGGGTTAATTTTTAAGCGTTTGCATTGATTTCCAACTGACAGAGAAAACTCTGTGATGTCACTTTCAGAAGTTCATGTCTCCCTAACTGAGGATTAGGATGGGCTTTTATTTAAATAGAAGGTCCTTTGATCTCTCTTTCTGCTTCTCTGTAGTTCTTACTGTCAGTGTTTGGTGTTTGTTTTAGTAAATTGGACCACTTCAACATATCTTCCAATCAGACTGTGGCTCAAACGAGGATTTTTAACCTGCCAGCTGTCCAAGCGTTTGGGAATAAAACTACTACTGGGTATCTTATCAGCATGGTGATTGGCCTGAACACTCATTGGTCATTTAGAACTCTTAAAAGAGGCAGGGGAGGTTTTTGTTACACTTCAAATACAAGAAAATTCAAGGCCTTAGACGTCAGGATATTCCGCATTTTGTCCTTCAAACCAAACTGATTACCTGAAGATTACTCACTTATTATCATTATCATAGTTCAGTCAGTTTATAACAATGTACGTTAGCTTTTAAGATCAAGTGATGAGGAATAGATAGCTGCAAAACTGAGATCTGAGGAAGAAGAACACAAGTATTGTACTTAGTTCACACAAAATAGCTTTCAATTTTTCTTTTCTTTTAAATGTCTTTTTCAGATAAAGAAGGAATTGAAATGTTCCCATCACAGTTCCCACACTGGAACACTCATACGCAGTCAAATCCCCCAAAAACACATTTCCAACGTGGCACACGGGGGAAAACTGAGCCTCCACATTCCAGGGTGTGAAACGATCCCTTTAAAGCTACAACACACATCATACTCTGTTAACATTTGCGTGTTTTGCTACATTTAGAGTCTCCCAAAGGAAAAACCATCATCTGTGTTGCGTTCAAAGTCCCACAGTGAACGTACAGATCCCACAGGGACCTTTTCCTGATGCGAGGACGCCATCGAGGGGAGCAAAGAGCCGGTGGGGATCTTTTTTCTCTGTCAGTGGAGGGTGATTTCTTCTTCTTCTTCCTCGTCAGCAGCTGAGTCCTCACATCTGTCTCCGTTCAGGCGCAGCAGCGGGAACTCCAGCTCGGAGCTTTTACCGGAGAGCTCCCTTAAAGACGGGCCCTTACCTGGTGGAAAACAGCACAGACACGACCACTGGCTTAACTCATTGGCTGCCAAAGACGTCTATAGACGTCTTTTATGTTTTTCAACGAGAATGGCTGGGGAGACGATCTGCTAAAGCTTGTCCGTAAATATCGGCTTCTAGACAGAGTATGTAGTAACAAATTGACCCTCTAGGTGGCAGTGCCACTTTTGATGGGAGATGAGCATAGACTGTAGGCAAATAAGAAAAAGGTAACGGTTCGCTATGAGAGAACATGTCGCCGGTGAGACGCAAGTCGAGGAAGAACGGAATAAGGTAGAAACAATTTTTTTTTCCTGATGAAAGAAGAGAGTCTACTCTTTCTTTTGGTGTGCACAAACTATTCTGTGGCTCTTGAAAAATCAGTCAAAATGCTCAAAAAACTCTGGCAGTATGGGACTCTCTGTTCTGAAAATGGCTGGCAGTCAATGAGTTAATAACTGACCACCAATAGCAGCCGACTGGAGCAACCCCCCCCCCCCCCCCCCCCCCAAAAAAAAACTGTAAAGACTCACTTTTGGAATAATAGGTCTTCAGGCCCACGTGTAATGAAATGCCACACAGACACACAACGAAGCCCAGCCAGTTAACGGCAGTCAGTTTGTCTCCCATCAGAGATGCAGCCAGAAGCAGAGTACACACCTCCTACAGGAGGAGACGGAAACAGGGGAGGGGGGGGGGCACAGAGGGGTCTGAAATCAGTCTGGTTGCATGGATACAAAACGGAAAAAAAAAAAGAAGCAGGATTTAAAAGCTGCTTGCCTTTAAAATATCCTTTTTCTGACCAACAGTAGCTTGAACAATGTTTCACTCTGACCAATGCAGAGTTTTTTTAAGTTCAAAGTTGATATTATTTGACAAATAAACACTGAAATGTGGGAAAAGCAAATGGCTGATACTGTAAATGTCCTGGCCGTGTGCTTTCCTAATGCTTTTAAACCTCTGGGTGACGTTTACTGCCCGATTTGGTCGTCCTAAGGGAGCTTGCTTTTGCGTTTTGCCTCCAGTTATGGTGACCCGACTCGGCTTCTGAGTACCTTAAAGATCCCCGATATGGACAACGTCAGGCTGGAGGTCCGGGAGACGAGCAGGAACTCGGAGAAGCCCAAACCGAAGGCGAGCGAGCCCCCGATGCCCAGCGTGAAGAGCGAGTACAGGAGGGAGGAGAGCTCGGTCACCCGGAATAACTTCTCCGATGTGCCGAGGCTCAGAGCTGCAGGGGCACATTACAGGGTTTAGACGGGGCTTTGAACAGCCGGGGACCTTTACAAGACAAAAAAACTGAGTTTACAGTAACCTCTCTCTCTGTCTGATGACATTATAAGTTTAATTTAAAATACTAAGTTCTCCTCACTGCCAGACAAAGCAAGGAATGAGGCAGCATTTCAGACGAGGGATGAAAATGTGAAGATACCTTAAAAGAAATGAGGATCAAACACTTTATCTGATTAAAGGTGACTAGTACGGGTGGAAAAGTCTCAGAGGGCTGGTGCATGCCTAATTCAGTTTGAATTATAACTTCCTGAACAATAAAAAATGTTGAAAAAGTTAAAAATAAATGCATAAAAGAAGTTAGAAGAAGTTATTTCAAACCAACGTTTTGCTGATTAGTGAAAGCACTTGTAAATTTTAATGTCAATCAAAAAGGGCAACACAGACCCAGTAAGTGACAAAACTCCAGGTCAAAGGTCATGTTCTACTTCTTCCAACAGCTCCCACTTTCAACAGTACAAACTCTGTACATTTCTCCATCAAAAGCATGCTCAGATCCAGAAAGTGCAGCGTTGAGGCTACTCTCACCTTCATTGTAGAGGAAGAGGGGGAAGAGGCCGAGGAACATGAGCGGCTGAAGGTGGTACATGGCGTCTATTGGGTTCTGAAGGCCTGAATCCAGGAACACAGAGGAAAAGATACACGCCACGCAAGTGAGATTGCGTAAACTTGAAGACTTTAACCATAATTCCTGTGGGCTGAGCAAACATTCATCTAACTTTAGATATACCAAATAGATGGACACAAGCAATAGTTTTAAAATGCTAGGAAAAGACAAGTGAGAGGGACTCCACCTGTTGTTAAAATAACAGTTTGATAGCCAGGAAAAAAAGCAGGATTTCTTCCTTTGGGTTTGAAACTGACAAATGACTGACCCAGCTCTGCTTTCTGCATGAGGACCTGAGTGAGGGTCCAGCGGATTCCCCCGAGGAAAGAGGCCAGCAGCACCATGATGAAGCCCTCCAGGTTAAACTGGGTCGACTCGAACGTAAACATAAAGAGGCCGCAGGAGATCAGCAGCACCACCACGATCAGGTAAGGATTCTGAGAGACGGAGCAGAAACAACCGGTGAAAAGGGCCCAAAGTACCACAGATCTGTGAGGAGAAGGCAGGAACGTCCCAATAAATCAGAGCAAACTCAACAACAGGCCGGTTCTGCTGCGGTTTTGGGGGGAAAACGTCTCACATTAGCTCTTTTCAAATAAGGAAAACAGAATGACATTACAGTACATAATTTTTAAAAATGACTGAACATTTGAGCTGGATTGATGGAGCCTCGGCAACAATGCCAAAATCAGAGGGCACAGAGTCATTTATTTAGAGGCAGCTATTGAAAAAAACAACCTGACACACTTAGAAAAACATTGACTGAAATCAACAGGAAACTTCTAAATAAACTAATTCCATTAAAATGGCTTTTTGAAATGAATAGCCAAACTGAGCCACTGATCTGCTTTACACAGGCACCTAAATAGAAGGACTACATCGCACTAGGATGTTTACAGCATCACCACGGCAACACTCGCCGATGCTGCCTCTGTTGCCACAGAAACCGAATCCACTCATCTATCAGCTATGCTGGGCTTGTTTTCACAGAATAAGAAGCCTACATGTTAAAATGAAGAGAAACCCAAAGAAATATATCACTTATTACAAATGTAGAAAGAATTAACATTTTGGTGACTCAGTGAGATGTAATCACGAATATTTCCACTATCAAGAAGATCTTAAAAGCTTTTCCTACAAATTATTTGTCTTCCACTCCCTTCTACTATCAAAACTAACTGTAAGAGCATCATGAAGCTGGCGTGTGGTTCGTTTATATTTTTGAACGACAGACATGATGACTTACCGGCTCCTCCAGTTTGAACACTAGAGAGAAAAAGAGGATAAACAGCACTGCTGAAGACTTGGTCATGGTGTACCTCAAATGACAAAGTTAAGACACAAATATCAGGGTGAAAAAAATACTGTGAAAGATTTAAGACGATACAGAAAACCTGAGCCACAAACTTACAAGCTAATTGTGATGAAGAGGAAGCTCCAATTGGAAAGTCCAATATCCAGAGCTGTCGCTAAGGCTGAGGAGTGGAAAAATATTAATTAAATTACTTTTGGATCAGATTTTGCTACAGCTGTGCTACAAAAAAAAGCTAAAGTCTGACATATTTTGTCTCCCGATAGTCTCTGTGTCACAGACACAACGTGTTATCGAATGATGACTTTTTATGGCTCAATGAATTCATTCATGTTGGTTTATCCGTTTATGCTTTTGTATACTTTTACAAGTATCAATAAAGTGTGACTAATCCATCAACACAGTTCACCACAAATATGTGCACATGATAATATGTCCTGACTGCATCTCGTCTTCCAGTATCAAAACGTTTGGCACTCCACAGAAACAGAGACTCACCAGTGGGAGCCACTTTAAAGAGGTAGTCTCTCCAGCTCAGGACCACACGGGGTTTTCCTGCTCCGCAGACGGCCGTGTAGACCCACCGGGTCAAAGCCGACAGGGAGAAGATGATGGTGAGATGCACCAGGGTCATGAAGAGGGGATAATGGAAACCCTGAGAGAGACGGAGACACACAGGGTGGGTCAGTCCTCGGAGACTGGGACCGGCCCGGGCACCCAGATCACACATAGTACAACTTAGGGAATCAAACGAGGGGTTCACTCACCTTCATCAGCCATTTGTTATAAAATGTGATCCCTATGGAGAAGACATAGTAGAGCAGAACCAGGCCAACGGTGCGAAGCCCCCGGCAGAGGAACTGAACCGGACACGCCATTCAGGGCCGCCTGGACCAGCCGGTCCAACACACACAGCTACGAAGACGACCCCATCTCCTGCAGGGGATTAATCTGTGTAAGGGTGAATAAAGAATAAGGAGTTAGTGGAAAGTGCTGTGAGCCGCTCAGAGGTCTGATAATGTTATCAGCTGGTCGTTGACCACGTCAGCAGGGCATTGAGACACCAGGTCTTCCGTTCAGCTAATCTCTCTCACTGTTGGCCAACATGTGACGAAACAAGAACCGAGCCCGGACTGGAAACCCCCTCCACGAGCTCACCTGTGGCTGGGGGCTCTTTGGTCGTTAGCTGGCAGAGTTTTTCGGGGCTCCAGCTGCTCGGACGGGCCTTAAACCTCCATGACCTGTAACGGAGGCAGCACCGTTTATTTGGCTAACTTCCTAACGCTGACTGTATTCTTACACGTCACAGCAAACACAGCCTAAAGTTGCCTTTAAATGGGACTTCAGCCCGCAGGTAAACAGCTACTACTACTGACAGCTACTACAGGTGCTACTGTCAAGCGGCAACAGTTACGGGCTGAACTTCATTTTAAAAGTCGACTCTCAGATTATCGGTCCCACTAAACAGAGACTGGCATTTTTCTCATAACTGACACGAAGAATACCTCTTTATCAGTTCATATCTCCCACTATTTTGCTGCTTTAAATTCATTTTTAAAAAATCACAGAAAAAAGTGAAGCAGAATGAACACATGCCGATCGAGCTAATCATTTAAGCTAGCAAGTGTAAGTTAAGGCGACTAACTCAGACTTCTGTTTTATCAAAAAACTGACCTCAATGTTTATCGTCGGCCATCACACCACGAACCCAGAAATACTTCCTGCTGATATACACGTCTATATAACTCAACTGACTGCATGTCACGTTTATAAACATCGATGCATACTAGCTTACTTGGTGCAAACCGAGCTACCAGCAGGGGCAGTGGTCAGCCGCCACTCTCAATATTCACCTCAAAAACCAACGAAGAAGAAACCAAGCGCACAACCACAACAAGCCCTGTTCGCTTTTGTCGTTAGCCTTTGTGCAGGTACAAATCTCACCGTATATGTTGGAGTTTGCGGTTCAAGTTTTATAACATGTTTAGGAGTTGTTTAAATTCTTCCGTTTGTGTATTTTCCAGCAAAATGGCGGAAGAAGAGGACGAGACCGGCTTCGACGAGGAGCTGGACGACGGCACCAGTGGAGTGGACGTCGGCCACGGGAGGAGGAAAAGGCTCTTCTCCAAGGAGCTCCGGTGTATGATGTATGGGTTTGGCGACGACCAGAACCCGTACACGGAGTCCGTGGACATCCTGGAGGACCTGGTCATCGAATTCATCACGGAAATGACCCACAAAGCCATGTCCATTGGACGCCAGGGCCGCGTCCAGGTGGAGGACATCGTCTTCCTCATTCGCAAAGACCCCAGGAAGTTCGCCAGAGTCAAAGACCTGCTGACCATGAACGAAGAGCTGAAGAGAGCCCGGAAAGCTTTTGATGAGGCCAATTATGGCTCATAAACTCGTACTGGGACTGTAGGAAATGTCTCTTCCGGTGTGAGCTGCCCCAGAAGCGCCACAGGCCGCTTTGGGGATATCAGGGCCGGTTTGGTGGTTCAGTTTTTTTGGATGTAACTCTTAGTTATTCACACACTCGACTCACGTTTGTCTTGGATTCTATGAATAAACCTAAACTTGTTTTTAATCGTCCTTTTGAGGGTTTTTTTGTGCTGCACAGTACCAGTAGGACACAATTCATTTTCTAAACATATTAACCTTCATATTTCATACGCACAAAATAGTTGAAAATAAATAAATTGCCTTACTGTGCTTTAATGGCCAGCACAAAACATCTTCAGTCCACATTAGTATTGGATGTGTAGCTACAGCTGCACCGTCTACTTGGAATAACCACTTTTAAAATACTGATATAAGACGGTTTGACGGAATAGTTTTAGCCACATTTCCCTTTTGCATTACAAACAGTTTATGGTCTTTAGTCTTTTTCTAAGCAAAAGTTTTCTTTTATTACAATGGATTCAAGAAAAAAGAGAATGATTTTCTTTATGAAACATTAAACAAGAATCCATAACTGTCTAAAGGCAGAATTTTGTAAATAAATCAATTTTTCTTCATGTTTACAGCCAGGAACAAAGAACATGGATAAACTAATTCATTACCCTAAATGTAAAAATTGCCACTTTAAAGATGGTGGGATCTTTCTGATCAACTGAAGTAAAACTGGCTGTGGCTTTATACAAAATGGACAAAAAGAAGAAACAAACAGATTTTATTTAAATTCCTCAAAACATTTTCTTTTACACAGGCCATAAATATGACAGACCAACTACTAGAGAGCATGTCTTAGTTCATTTATTCCGTTCAAGCAATTTACTTCTTTGTACAGTGAAGTTTTGAATGAATTGGTCTAAGCAGCAGGTAACAGGCTGCCCTTCTATCCAGACTGTGTCTAGATCAGAGCTTTTCCAGCAGAAAGGCGGTCTGGGGGGGGGGGGGGGGGGGGGGGGGGGGGGGAGGGGGGGGGTCACCTAAAACATGCATACTGCAGAAGGTGTGCAGTGGATTGGGACACTGCAGTCTTGCCTTCCTGCCACAGGAGCGTGTCAGTGGACGGGGATGAGCAGCCCAGTGACCCCCACTGGGTGTCCTAGCTGTCTGTGGAGGGTGTCTACAAGGGTGGAGAAGAGAAGTGGTGAACCGGGTGGACAGAGGGAGGGGAGTGGTGGGAGGTTTGGCTGAAGGAAGGGGCAGAGGTGGTGCAGATGGACTCAGAAAGGGGGTTCACGTGAGGGTGGAGGAATGTCCCATAAGTCTTTGTTCTTTACTGCACATTCTCCATCATCTTGAGGAATTCTGCATGAGACCAGAGAAGGTGGAAGATGGGAAGACATTCATTGATCCAAGCAGCAGTCAGTTAACACAGTGCAATAAAACACACGTGCTTGTGTAAAGTCTGGATGACTGGACTGATGAATGCTCGTGTCTGGGCACTGGCTCAGAGTCATAATCACTGCGCACGTACCGTCAAAGTCCAGCATGCCGTCGGCGTTCTTGTCTCCATCCTTCAGCAGCTCGTCAATCTCCTCCTCTGAGATGGACTCACCGGAGCTGCGGATGATCTGGGCGAACTCATCCCTGTCGATGTAGCCGTCAGCGTTCCTGGGGGAAACAGAGGAGTGCCGGATTTCCCACACAGGCCTTTTTGCTCGACGCGAGGCCCCTTCCAGCGGACAGTCGTCGGACGACTTACTTGTCGAACACACGGAAGCACTCTGCCAACTCTTCCTCGCTCTTGCCGGCCTGGTCCTCCTTGAGCAGCCTCACCATCATGACCAAGAACTCCTCAAAGTCGATGGTACCGCTGCCTGAGTGTTACAAGACGGCACATAATTCTTTGACTGTCGTCAGCTCTCTTTTGCGCACTGTTTTACACACATATGTCTTTAGATGTTAAAACATTTACACCAGGGCAAAATAAGAGTAAGGATGATGTTGGGCCATTTAACGCCTCCAGCCTGTCAGCCAAATAACCGGGACCTCTGGTGCGTAAAAGAGTTATTACGCACGGTGGGATGGAATCCTGCACAGACTATTGTTTCTCCCTAAAGCTTACCGTCCTGGGTTTTACACACACATATCTTTAGATGTTAAAACATTCACACCAGAGCAAAATAAAAATAAGAATGATGTTGGGCCATTTAACGCCGGCAGCCTGTCAGCCAAATAACCGAGGACATCTGGTGCGTAAAAGAGTTATTACGCACGGTGGGGTGGGATCCTACACAAACTGTTGTTTCTCCCTAAAACTTACCGTCCTCATCGACCTCCTCGATGATTTCATCCAACTCCTCTCTTGTCGGGTTCTGGCCCAGCATCCTCATCACGGTACCCAACTCCTTGGTGCTAATATCACCGCCACCGTCAGTGTCGAACATGTCGAAGGCGGCTTTGAACTCTGCAGGTACAAAATAATTGTATAATGCACATAATTGACCCCGTGTGAGCGCATTGTACTCTTCTAGCAAAGTGAAGTCATTCAGTTTCCAAGGAATTCATTGATGCAGTATTTGAAAATGATAATTGAGTTATTCTCTCGCAAATATGTTATAATCACCATTTAGCCTTTTGTTGAGAGCAAATCGATTGACCATAGAGTAAAATTATCCACCTCAATGAAGTTCCTGCCACGAGTTAAGTTATAAAAATGCGGCGCTTTTGAACTCTGCAGGAACAAAATAATTGTATAATGCACAGAATTGACCCCGTGTGAGCGCATTGTACTCTTCGAGCAAAGTGAAGTCATTTAGTTTCCAAGGAATTCATTGATGCAGTATTTGAAAATTATCATTGAGATATTCCCTCGAAAAAGTGTTACAATCACCCTTTTGTTGAGAGCAAATCGATTGACCATAGAGTAAAATTATCCACCTCAATGAAGTTCCTGCCACGAGTTAAGTTATAAAAATGCGGCGGCTTTGAACTCTGCAGGTACAAAATAATTGTATAATGCACAGAATTGACCCCGTGTGAGCGCATTGTAGCCTACTCTTAGAGCAAAGTGAAGTCATTTAGTTTCCACGTAATTAATTGATGCGGTTTTTGAAAATGATAATTGAGATATTCTCTCGCAAAAGTGTTATAACCACCATTTAGCCTTTTGTTAAGAGCAAATCGATTGACCATAGAGTAAAATTATCCACCTCATAAAGCTCCTGCCACGAGTTCAATTATAAAAATTATGTTGCACTGCATGCATGGTTGAGCCATTAACGTTTCCAGAGAGGTGTATGGGAGTTATTGTTAAAGAAAGCTTAAACCCTACTTATGTTTCGGCCCCCCTCTGCTCATATTGTTGGTCAAAAATGGCCCCAGACGTCGCTGTACTCACCAGCCAGCATTTCCTCGCTCAGGTAGGAGCGGGCCTCTTGCTGCGCGTCGGTCTGCAAGACAGCAGGAACAAGCCTTTCTGATCATTTATTACAGAGTTTTTTTTCAAGGAGTAACTCTCAGGATTCAGCTAAACGCCTCGGGACGGATTCCCACTGCTCTTTAAAAAACGTATTCATTGTTTAAATGATTGACAGTAGCATTTAAATTGATTTGTGTGATTTGTGCCACATAAAATCGTGGATATATATTAAAAAAAAACCTTTGGACATATAATATTTTAGTAAAAGATGCTTGAGAGTGCAAATAGATTTTACGCACAACGAAGGAAACATTTTAGAGATACAGAATGACAGTTAAAAGAAAAACATCTTCTCATTTAATCTCTCATCTTCTCATTAATATAATTAATCGTTGGGGCGATCGCAAGCAAATATTCTTCAATAAGTCATGCGGATAAAGTTGTCCTGGCTCGAAAGGAGTCTTGAGCTTGGTGAAAATTGGTCTGGCTATTTAAGGCTCAACACATTAAGGCTGCTCTATATGGCCATGAGACATCCAATCCCCAGGAATTTAACGTCTAAGCAGAATCCCAGCTTCGTAACTGACACCTACCCTGCTCCATCAGCACCCAGCCTTTGGCATTAAGGGTATTTCAAAATCATGATGAATGTTATAATATTAGTTATAATATTAGTTATAATATTACTTGTCTGCATTTTGGAATAATACATTTAAAAAATCAAATGCACAATCTGCCCTGTGTTTAGGTCGTTAGAATTCTATCTAATAAACAATATTATGTAAGTGATATCAACAGTTTAATGTCACAAAGAGAGGACGACCGAATCCCAGCAACTAAGCAGAGCTTATTATTCCACATGCCTTTATTAATCCTTCTTTAACACATGCTCACCACAGGGATGACTACTGAATTTCTGATTTAATGATAAACTTGGACTAGTTCAGCCGGTCATTTGAACAACTAATTGGTCTTACCATGTTTGTGGATTAGCTTTCCCCCCCTAAATATCCAAGGAAAACAGAAAAGCCCAAAGGAGTGGTCAATCCGTGTGCACCCCAAGAGAGAGACTAGACATCAAGACAAGGTCCAGACTCACTTTAAACGGGACAGATAAGTCCCGCCCACTGCTTTTCACAGGCCTCCAGATTTAGTATCCTGAACTTTTAGGGTTCTGGGGCCAGGACAAGCCAATCACACCTTGAAGAGTGAGCCCTAATGCCTTGATGTTAAACCTTTAAGAATGTAAAATAAGTCAAATGTGAGCGGAAAGTGAGGGAAACAGTGTCATGTTTTTGGGAGATTGAAACTAACTTGGCGGTACCTCTGTGTGTACAGTGTGTGTTCAGATTTGATGGAGCTCAGATAACCAGGAGAGAAATGAGAAAAACAGCCAATCCAAAGAAGCAACACCCACTTGTAGATGTCGTTCAAACAAAAAAATATTATTTGCTACTTAGAAAAGACCCGAATCCAGATTCTTGTGGTGACAATCTAAATTACAAACCACAGTGAAAAAAAACACCAGAGTCCAAATCACCACGCTTTGGATTTCTCTTCAGGCCTGGGCCTCCTGGTTCACTGTTCTCTCAATTTATAAGCAGGTTATGGCGTTAACTGGGAGTAAAATGCTGTGGGATCTGACCCCCGATCGCCATTCCTCCCCCCTCCTCCCCCCTCCTCCCCCCCCCTCCCCGGTGCCCTGAATAGCAGGCAAAATTCAGACGGAGAAGGGTCGAAGCAACCGAGTACCCCAGTGCCGTGTCACCTGATGAACACAACCTGGTGCTCCTAATTTGGCATGCAGTTCCTAAGGGGAGGGTTAGGGTTAGGAGAAGAGGATCCATGGGGAAAAGGGTGGGATGTTGGGGGGCTTAGAGGCTATATACCCTGAGGTAGACCAGCGTACTCCTTAGGGATAATGAAGCATTCTGCTCTGTGACTGCCGGTCTCAAGCCTCCAAAGCTCAGCTTCACCTCTCACGGTGGGGCCGACCTCCTGGGGGGGCCCGTTTCCGTGATGGGAGACTACTTCACGAGGAGCATTGGCAGACGGCTGTGAGATCTGGGTGGATGAGATAAGTCTGAACCAGGCGGCCGAAAATGTAAATGGGCTGGACGTGACTTTTAATTTGATGTGTTTGATAAGACAAGGAAATCGAGGTGAAAGCACGGTGGGGGAAAAAAAGGCCTCTTTGCTTTCAAAACCAGGGCTGAAAGAGAAGGTCGGCGGTGTTTAGACGCAGAAAATGCATGGGTTTGTTTTGCGACGGGCACGAGTCTGAGAGTTGAAAAGCCAGACAGACTGGTTATCTAACGGATCCAGGGAGGCCAGAAGCGCAGCGGACACGGTCAGAATAAAGAGCAGAGGCGAGCAATGAGCAGAAGAACAACTTTGGTTTATTCCAAAAGCACAGATCAGGGTGGACAAGACACTCAGTTGTAAGGTGGGGTATGAAGAGGGAGGGGTTTGAGCCCAGTCGGTGGGACATTTCTGGCAAAACAGCAGCTGCCAAGGAGACAGCTGGGTCTGGGTGCTCAGCTCAAGGAGGTGGCCTGGGGAAAAGCGCCTTCGTCTTAAAAGGTTTGAATGGATATTTATAGACAACATGCTCAACAGGCCCTCTAAGTTTCATGTGAGGTGGTGAGGGGGGGATAAATGGAGCTAGATGTGTTTAATCTGTGCACATTTTTACTTTGCAGTTGCTACAAATTCAAATTTGTGGCCCATTATTCAGCGCTTTAGAGTTTCCCCTTTGCACACTTCACTTTTATTCCCTCCAAAAGAAGGTCATCGCGGAATCCAGAGCTGGACTCATCACTGGACGTTCTCCATCATCTTCAGGAACTCTAGAGTGAGAAACAGACAGCCACCCCATCAAGTTATCGATCAAAACAGATGAAGATGAGTTAAAAACAACAGACTACATCACTGTAAAACATAATACAAGCATTTAGTATGATCACATTATTTCCATGTATGCTAATTTCCATTGTGAAGGCAGAGGAAGACAATATCTGACTTTTCCCACAGCGTACAAATTAAGTTCAAAGTCTACAGCTAGAAAAAACGTTTTCATTTCATAGATCACTATTAGGGAAAAATAAAGTTGAGTCTAAGTCTAAATCTAGAAGCATTCCTTGTTGCTCTGCATACTGTTTTATCTTATGTTGATTTCTGTATAGGGCTTGCTCTTTTTTCTCTGCTCTATGATTGGCAAGAACTGATAGAATTACCCCCCCACTCATTAATATCTGTCCCAGTTTCTCTACATCCATTCATAAATCACATCAAAAAGCTTTACTAAACACATGAAGACTACAACCCAATATCTGCCTGATATCAAGCTCAGCTACTGAAAATATCTCACCATCAAAATCGATTTTTCCGTCCTTGTTATTGTCTGATTCCCCAAACATTTCGTCGATATCCTCCTCGGTGACTGGCTCCCCAGTGAGGTGGAGGATTTCTCCAAATTCCTCCCGGTCGACAAAGCCGTCACCGTTCCTGTGGATTAAGGAGGATATTGCATTTTGTCTGCTTTATTTTATCAGACGGCATTGACTTTTGAAAAGACCCTCTCTTTTTTTCAAAGTTCAAGCTGTCGTATTCTCTCTTGACCAAACAACAGTGAAATTACAGGACAGTCTTACAGCATTGTGACCAAACAGAAAGGGAATAGGTCCACTGGTGGCTGAAATGTCCATTAGAGGGAGGGACTTAAAACATTTTATATGGGGATATATTCTAGTAAGAGCTTTGATTCCAGTTTTACATATTTGAGGAGACAGGAATCGAGTACAAACTGGCTCAATTTAATAAGGCTCAATTTAAGTCCTTGTAGTAGATTCAATTTTGTTTTCTATAGTAGATAGAATGGATTATTATCACATCTAATCAGCCTCTAAGCTAAAGACTGTTGCTTGTATGGCGATCACATCTTATAAATAAATGCCTGGTCCACTGAAAGTTACCAGTAGTTGAAGATTTGTTCCTTTAATCTTTTTTGGGATCTTAAACAAATAGCAATGTTTTATTTCAGAGCAAATCCTGGTTTGTATACGAATAAAACTTTGGAGATTTGGTGACAAGCCCTTGCCATAATAAGAAATTTCTTGAGATTTTGGGAATTTCCAGTCATCAGCCAATGTTTAGTGTGTTTCTGTTTAAAATAAAACTCCATTAACACGAGCATTCTGGGTAAATTTCAGTGTTGTAATTAGTAGCTTGTAAAAAGGCCTTAAGGAAACTAGAACTTTTCATGTTATTTGATTTTGTGTTGTCTTGTTCTTTAAATGTGTGTTCTGGACTTGTGTCACATGTTTGCTTCTTTTTTAACCTGTTGTGTTTGGGAAAACATTATAATAACAACCGGAATCAATGCTTTTGTCACAGATAGTTGGGATGGCACTTTATGGTAAAAGTATGAAATGTTAAAAAGGAAACGTACCTAATTTAGGCATGACATACCTAAACTTAGTTTCAGATTTGATTTAGGTATATTCCTCCAGTGTATCCTTTGCCAGAGTGTGATGATGTTGAAGGAAGTTAAAGGCTTAAACAAAACGATTATCTTCTGCCTTCCTCCCTTTACTTTACAGTTCTCTAACTCTACCAGATCACCCAGCTGACTGTTTTAATGTGAAGCACACTTCACCACCTTAATAGCTCGCCCTCTTTGCTTCCATAGGTCCATAGAAGGCCATAACAAACAGCTACAGTAAAACATCTCACACAAAATAAGCAGATGGGACGATTTTTCACTGAAGAGATAAAGTTTTGGTTTCACAGGTGTGTTTCCCAAAGGGAAACGGAGAGTCAAAATAGTGGTGAGGGGGAGATTACTTTACTAAATATGATGGGACAATGAAGCCTCCTCTAGATCCAAAATCTTTTTCTTCAGATTTTTCTTAAACTTCTTTATTTGTTTTTTGCTTGTTTCTCTTATAATAAGTTCATTTTTTAAGTTATTTTTATTTGCTTTTGGCTTTATTATTTAAAAAAAAAACAACCTTTTATCAGGTTTTCATCTCCCTCAAGTCTGCTGTTTCAGCCTTTCGGGCCTCATATCCACAAGCTGTGGCAGCTCTTGTATTCAGCTTTGTGTTACTGCCTAACGTCATACTTGTCAAAAATGCGGAAGCACTCCGAAAGCTCCTCTTCGCTCTTCCCGGCCTGGTCCTCCTTTAGCTGCTGCACCATCATGACCAAGAACTCCTCAAAGTCGATGGTGCCGCTGCCTGAGGGGGGATGAAATATGATATATAATCCTTTAGTGCCTGTCCTGTACAATACTGTACAGTGAATATTTTCTACTGTCTTTTGACTTGATCATATGGCATCCATGAGATGAGTTTTTTTTATTCAGCCCATCTGACGTGCTTCAGGTTTCCTGAATTAAGGATGACGGTGTAAAGGTTCCAAAAACAAACAAAACAAACAATTCTAATTTTGATCTCACCGTCTTCATCGACTTCCTCAATGATGGCGTCCAGCTCCTCTCTCGATGGGTTCTGGCCCAGCATCCTCATCACGGTGCCCAGCTCCTTGGTGCTGATGTCTCCGCCTCCGTCTGTGTCGAACATGTCGAAGGCGGCTTTGAACTCTGAGCGAAGGAGGAAAAATCTGATTAGCAGAAAGCAGCACCACAAAGGTTTTTTTTTTCTTTTTTTTTTCTGGTCAGCAGCATCTCTTAACATCTAAAAGAGGCGGGAAAAAAACGCCTCACGACAACAAACCCCTCAGTTTGCTTTTGTAATTTCTCAGCTCTCAGATGCATGAAGAAAAACTTCAAATAAAATGTGTTTTCAGAGACAAAGCCCTCCTATAAAGGATGCATGTGAATCTAAATGGAGGCTCTTACAGATATTGCTCCAAAGGTGACACTGCAAGATAATGGCTTTGATGAGATGAACGGATATGCACACACCACTTATTCGGTTATTTCATGTTGGTTCAACTATTTGCAACTGTTTGTAGATCTTCTTCCACACAACACTCTGACCCAACCATGTGGGTTAGCATCCCGCAAGACCAAAACACACCTTGTATCATCTCCTCGGTCAGGAAGGAGCGGGCGTCGCTCTGGGCGTCAGTGGGCTTCAGACGAAGGGAACAAGAGGTTGGAAAAAATTAGAGAAGGAATTGTCTCAGAGCTGTAAAAGCGACCACACAATGTTACCGGAGCGATTTGTGCAATTAGAACAGCATCTAAGAGACCTGTGTGAGATCTAATAGGTCTATTTTTCCATTTCTGTGCACAAAACAAAACAAAAAAAACCCCATTGCTTCAACCCCCTGCATACTAGCAGCGAACAGTTATGATTTCAGGCAATAACATCTAAAAACAACTGAGAAAGAAGTGCTTATTAAATATTCTGCTCTATAGGCAAATAAAGAAATCACATGTTTTTGAAAAGAATAATCTGTTCAGAGGTCCAGGTTGACATAACGTGGGACGAAGGACCTGCTGGACATATCGACAAATGCGTCTTTTTTCTGGTGAGGCTCGGCTGAATTTCTGCGTATTATTTAGGCTCTGGTTGTGGAGAAAGAGCGGTCGGAAAAGTTGGTTCTCTCCTGCTGTCCTGAACCACATTTTTTACCAGGAGAAAGAACCCAATGTAATCACTGATGTGGGAAAGTTGAAGAGGAAAACAATACAACAGCACGATAAAAAACACTCCAAAAAGTGCCTTTTAAACACAGTTAACAGTGTCTAAACCTCACAGAAAGAGGGTTCCTGGTTTGAATCCTTTGGGGGACCGAATGCCTTTCTGTGTGGAGTTTCCATGTTCCCCCCATGTGGGTTTAGCTGAACACTCTACGTTGCCCCTAATCTGTATGGTTGTTGGTCTCTGTGTGCATACTGTGCATTGTTATTGCCATTCTGAACGTTTCCTGCCTCACAAGTCCTTCCCTCTTCTTCTCCTCTAACCAAAATCTCTTCCAGGTAGTTTTATCCTTTGTTTTTTCACCCATGGGGCTGAAGTTATTATTCCATCAAGACGTTTCTCTCTTTGCCATTCAATTCACCCATCGGTTCATTTTAAATTTGAATATTTCTGGTTCTATTGAATGTCTTTTAAAGGTTTATACAGTTCCTGTGAAAATAACAGAGATGGGCTTTTAACACAGAAAGGATCAAACATTCCCATGGTCTGTGGACAAATGCAAAGAGGGCACAAGTTGATGGAAAAACCTACAAAATCTCATTTTTACTATTCTACTTCGGTAAGCTTTTCTTTAGGTTTGAGTCCATAGAGAGATGAACCAGACTATGAACCAGCTATGGTTGACAAAGTGACAGCCAAGAGCTGGAAATAGCCTCATATCTGGATGACGTCACCTTTAATCCTCCACCAGCTGGCTGGACTTGTTAGAGATGGAGACCCAAAACTTAAAACACAACGTTCACAAACGTGGGATGCAGAGACGAGTTTTATAAAGAAATAATGTTTTTTTGTGGACTTTTTTTCCTCACACAGAAGGTGACATTTACCCTGAACCCATCTGATCCGTCAACATTTATCGTCCTCCATTTTTGCTTTCTTCTCCAGAAATTGAGATACATGGGTAAACTTTTTCAAACAGGATGTGTATATCATGTCTAACTGGAGCAATTCTTGACGATTTCACATAATTTCGCAGAGCAAATGTTTTTAGCTTTTCTTTAAAACGACTAAACCAGTTTTTGTCACAAGCACAACTGCGTGTTGCACAACACAACCAACAAAAATGCATTTCTAAATTTAGATTGATTATTCCCTTAGCAATCTTATATTTAAAAACAAAAGTCTTAGCTTTTGAAGGTAGTCGGTTAGCTTACTTTTCAAACTTTGCTTCAGAGAAGCTTAAATCTATTCAAACATGTTAAGGTCACCGCCCTCCCGTTAGTTCCCTCAAAAGCTATTTTTATGGTGAGATTTTGTCGAGGATTTGAGAGGGATTTCCTCAAGGTGAATGCCTAAGTTAGGACAGTCAGAAAAAAGAAGCATGTCTTCTCACTTTACTCAGCTGTGTGTGTCCTATCTTTAGTACCACTCTCTGGGATCTAAATGTCCATCGCATTGAGTTGCGTTACAAAGGATGGAGCACAAAAGCAGGCCCGTAAAGAGCTGAGACAGAGGTTAAACGTGTCGGAGAATGTTTTCAGCTGCATGTTTGCAGATAAATAAACTTCCATGAGTGCGGAGCAAGCGGGTGAGAACGCCCGGGGTTAAATTCCCAAGGATTTCCCGAATTCCGAGGATCAAAACGACTCAGGTGCATAAATCCAGGTGACTGTGGCTGAGCAGGACAGGTTTGCCTTTGCTCTGAATAATCATCTCCATCTTCTGTCCTTCATCGTCATCCGCCGGGAACAAAAACCCGGATCCTCGGAGATGAAACAGACACATTGCGTTCCTCGTTTCCTCTCCCTCCTCTCGGGTCTCTGGTTTCTTACCATGGTGGTCGGCGGAGCTGAGCAGACACCGGAACAGAGAAGAGTCGACAGGAAAATCCAGTCTCCCTCCTGCGCGGTCCAGGTGGCTTTTTGTACCCTTTCATCCAGCGAGGATTAGACTCCATATGATCCGGATTGGCCCGGGGACCGCTTCCCAGATCAGACGCGACCAATCAGATCCAGCTTTAGATGTGCCCCCCTCACAATATGCTGACGGACATCCCCTTGTGCGGTGCCCTTGCCGACCCCCCATATTTAGATAACAGACAAGCTCGGTGACCGCTCAATTAAAAAAAAAAGGAAAACACTGCACAGGCATCAGGCAGCCGGAGGTTATTTTGGCACAGGATCAACTGGGCATCTCAGTGCGGACTGGACTCTTGATTTCACAAACTGTGTTAGAGCCAGAGAGCCCACACAGACCTCACACAGACCTCTCAGTGCCTGTTAGCCCATCTGATCCAGTTTTCACGCCACCCTGTTTTAGTTAATAATAATAATAATAATAATAATAATACATTTTATTTTTACAAAGCGCCTTTCGTGCCACTCAAGGACACTTCACAAAGACGATCGTCATTAAAACAACATTGAAACATAAGAAAACACACAAAGTCATAAATAAATCATAAATAAAAACATCATAAATGAATGAAAATGGAATGAATAAAACTGTGCAGAATGAGGGGAATGTTAGAGTTAGGGGTGGTGAGGTGGGTAAGAAATTTTGAACAGGTGGGTTTTGAGTTTTGTTTTGAAAAGAGGGAGAGAGTCGGTATTTCGGACGTCAGATGGCAAAAAGTTCCAGAGTCAGGCTGCAGAGCGACTGAAGATAAAGTGGGTTCAGACGATAGATGGATTATGGGAAACTGAACCTCAAAATACAAGCGCTATTTGAAACTGGAGTTGTAGAATTCAAGGCTTTTGTTGTTCCCAGGTTTATATCGAACTCTGTAAAAGTCTTAAGCCACCCCTGGTTTTTGGCCTGGAACATACAAACCTACACGTGGATATGAAAGGCAATATTGTAAATGAGGATCCATCCCTCCATGAGAGCTGCTGCCACTTCCTGTGTCCTCTGGCAGAACTCAGCTTTCCCTCCCTGTTTCCCTTCCTTAAGAGTGGTGTCTCAACATAAAATCTTCAAATGACCCTCAATCAGCTGCATTAATTTTTTAGCTTTACACATCTGTTGTTTCATCTGTCCACTTAATGTCTTAATAAAAAGACACTGTCAGTTTCTCAGAGACTCAGGTTTCAAATGAAAAAGAAGAAAGCACTAGATGACCTAAGGGAAGCCTTCACAGGTTGAATAAAAGGGGTCCCAGGATTGACCCCTGTGGAACTGTATCAGCCACCAATGTGAAACCCTATCCCCGACCTTACATTGAACTCAGTCTTTTGAATGCAGGGTAAAAAATGATTTGATTACCCAAATATCTATAACAATCCGTGAACACTGGTAAGTGACAGATTCTTTTTGCATTTGAAAAAACATTACATACCTTTCTCTGTATCTATCTACAGTTTTATACCATCAAAGGTTTGCCCTGGGTAACTGGATGAGTGCCTGGATTGGGAGGGGGGCAGTCCAGTACCCCCCCCCACCCTCACTATGCATCACATTTATAGTCAGGTGTAAGTACGTTTAAGTAGAAAAGTGAATGTCAATGATGCGCTCTTTCCAACCCATCTCTTCTTAAAACTGTCTCTTTTTGTCCGGATTTTCTTCTATGGACAACACTTCTTTCTAATTTCTAAGTTGTTTCTCTCCTTCGGTCTTCTGATCCTCACGTCTCCTTTTTCTGTCTTCCTCTTGGTCTTCCCCAGAGGGCGACATAGCGAGTTCAGCTTCCATGCCTTGCAGCTCATGTCACCACTTCCTTGAAGGCCTGTTTGGTGCCTGACTGACAGCGCCAGCTGATACTTTGTACAGCTTAACATTTCCCAGAAAACCTCAACGTCGGGCCTGGTGAGAGAACAAAGAATCAGAAGTGATCAGAAGACACATGCTGTCTCGTTTTTTTCCATTTTGTTTTAATCTTCTTCTTGTTATTCTACCCTCTTACCATGCCCCCTTCTATTCCTGGACATACCCCTGAAACACAGCTGAGCCTTGTGGACAAACACCTGCCAAATAAGGCTGGAGGTATTGCTCTGCCCCATTGTAGTGATGGTCCCTTTGCTGGTCTGATATCGCCTGCCTGTGCCTTTTCCAGGCTTTGTTCTGTTTGAGTCCATACTGGTTGTGTACCAGCACTACAAACTGACAGCAATCACACATCACACATCAATAATATCCTCATAAACTCGCAATATTATTTAGGAAAAAAGCAACATTTTTAAAAATTCGGATTATTTGTAGACAAAAGGCAGACGTCTTTGACTTTAACCCTGCCTAGCAACAAATGATGGCTGAAATGTGATTGGTTAAATGCTTTAATATGGAAACACACGTCTGGCAATCTATGAAAGAAAGCAGACAGACCATTTGGAAATATTTAATAAGTATTCCTGGACAAAATATAATGAACATCAGTCTGTGATTCAGATATTTTCTTAGGCCAGCAGAAAAAAGCCTTGCAGGCCCTGACCGCCCACCATTGGTTGAAGTACACCTGATTTTATATTCCAAGATGAAGCACCTTTTCACATTCTCTCAACCACATTTCAAATGCGGGGGGGTTATCACAATTCCAGTAGGGAAAAATCCCCTTTTTGGCCACTGATGTAAATCAGGGAAATACACTATATTTCCTTGTTGTCTGTCACCCAACCTGGTTCAGTTATTCTAAATAACGCTGTGAAGGGGGATACGGGAACTCCCAGGAAAACTTCAAGCCTGAAGAGGACACACACAAAACTGAAGAAAACAGGGACTTTATTGGTCAAAGTGCTTAAAGTTACAGTATTACCAAAGCATGTGACCCTGCCACATTAAGTTGGATGGTGTTTTTTCTGTGGAGTTGTCTCATAAGTTAGGGTCTTTGAAAAATTGGAGGCTCAGGTAATATTGACATTGGCCTTGTTGGGTTTTATCAATATAGGTATCAGCCTCTATAATTCATGGGCTTTATTTTGATACTGTGTGTCTTTGAGATGTCCGGAGAGTCGGGGTGTAGTGTGCCTCTTTAAGGACATTGGGGGTGGAGCTATCCGGAGAGCACCTGGGAAAGAGGTAATGAGGAAAAATGTTTGAAATGTGTGGCAGGTGGCATGCAAAGGAGGAGAGAGGTTGTTTGAATTGAGAGGCTACAAAGAGTCCTGCCGGATGGGGTTGAAGAAAAAAAGAAAAAATCAGTCCACTGGACAATATTTGTGGAAATAAGGACTTTAACAGAAAAAAAAAAGGAGTCGAAGCTTGGAGGTATTTTTTTTTTCCCCCGCTGGATGTGCTGGTGAGACCCATCTAGTTTATTCATTTTTTCCTTTTTTTTTTTGTGCAATGCATTGCTGAAGACTGATTTTGCGACTTATTTAGTACAATTTTGTGTATTTTTCTTGTTTTTTTTGTAATTTTGCAGGAGGACCGGTGTTGGATTTACACTATGGAGTGACTTTGGGGGGGAAGCGGTGAATACTAATGGTGATTTTTGACCAAGACTATTGAGAAAATGTGGGGAAAGAAGTGGATAGTTTGTGAATTGTGTGATTGATAAACAAAATACAGGTGACTGATTTGGGATAAAGCGTGTGTGATGTAATGGTTATTTTTTATAACATTTTGATAAAAAATTTTCACAGATAAAAGTTAAACATTGTAGGCCGAACATATTTAGTAACAGTTGTTTTCCGACTAAGATCAAGGGAATTGTTACAAGCAAAAGAAAAATCAAGAATCACCCACAAAACAAAACTACAAGCAAATATAAGGGTCTGATTAAGAACTATAGAAACCAATAATTGTTTATATGGAGGGACCAAATGAGTAACAGGAGGGAGGTGATGATTAGCTTTATATTTCAGGGATAACACGGGAACATGTGTTTCGTGAACCAATCTTTGGAGACGAGCTTTGCTTTTATGCATTTCTACTGAGAAGAAATGTCCTCTTTAAAATGGTTAACCTCCCAGTGGGAATAAGAGAAACCACTGGTTGCACTATTGGAACAAAAGTCATCCAGTCTTACAAAACAGAGGCCTCAAAACACTGAAACATGGCTCCTGTTGGCGTTTCAGTGACTCCGGTCCTGCTCTGCTGTCCCACAGAGGTGGGACTGTACCACCCTCTGCTGTTGGAATGAAAGTCACGGTCAGTTTTCACATCAGCTCACAGACGTTTGTGGAGGGGTCAAGTTTGAACGACGGTGGAGCGATAATGACTATTTTATAACTTTTTCTGTATATCAAGACATTTCACCATTACTATAACTTTGCTTTCCTAATTGCTCCATAAATAAAGTCTGTTTTCAAGAGGTTTGTGACGACCCATTGCCAACTGACATGCCCTCTAGTAACCACGGTAACTATGACAGGAGAAAGTTAATCGACTTTGATTTTGATCTCCGTTAATTATAAGATTCACCAACTTTTTTACTTTGGAATGCGACGTAATGTTTAACGGTTGCACTGCTAATTATACGCGATATAATTATAATTGTATAATTATACCTCATGGGGTTTGCCACAGGTTGGGGGGGGAGGGGGTTGTTTTCTCTTTACCGGCTGACCTGATGCCCACAGAGTAGACCTGGTTCCCACTTGTTTGCAGGGAATGTTTCTGTATTGTGAGATTCTTTTATCCAAAGCGACTTACAGCAAATTATAGATGTAATGTTACAACTGAGGTAGTTTTGGGGCAGTGTCATCACCAGGCTGTCCAGTTTCTTTTAAATCTTTTTTATTTTCTCTTTTGCAACTCCTTCTTAATCCCAGAGGGGTTAAATGACCCCCCCCCCCCCCCCCCCCCCAACAACCTGAATGTGTCAGGTTCTCCTGCTTTTTGCTTATTTCCTTCTTGTTCGTTTTTTGTAGGTTTGGTTTTGATTTTCTCTTATGTTTTTAGCGTCCTGCGTTTTACTGTGGTGCCTTTCTCAGTTTCCTGTGTTTGTTTCTTTGCTAGCTTTGTGTCCGGGGGACCTCCTCATCAGTTAAACTCCTCACACCTCTGCGCTCCACCTCTCTCCCCACACAAATCTCTCTGTTCCCGTCATTCAGTGTCACATCTGGATGATACTCTGCCTCCATTGGTTCTGCTGGTGTTTTTTAATGTCAGGTATGTCTTTGTTTCTAGCTTTTTGGTTTTGTGTCATAAAGATGACTTTTAGCCTTGTAACCTCAACATTAGAGTTGTTTTTTTGTGGGTTTTTTTTGCTGTTTCCATGTGACTTTCTCATTCTACTTTTGCACCGTACACACCAGTTCCTCCTTAGTGTCTTTAATTTCTTTAACATGTTTCATGTCACATCACAGTGGAAACTGCCTTGTTCATGTCCCAGATGACTGGCCAGCGACACTTACAAAAATGGTGATATTTAGTTGGTGGATCCCCAAGACAAAACTGACCCTTTTAGTTTCCCAGATTTTGAGGGAATTTGCTTTTCTGCCAAAGCAAACCAAGAACAGCAATAAGAATCATTTCCACACCATGTCTTCTGCAAACAAAATGTCCACGGTTCTAATAAGTAGCAACACTCTAACATGGTGATGTGAGATGCTGATGATTGGAAAAAATAGATTTAAAAGTGATTTAAATGAGAATTAGACGTGTACGTTTTCTTCACGGATAAACCAAGACTTTTTAGTTTAGAACTTATCTTTACAAAACGTTAAGCAAAGAATTTTCTTGATCATTATACATTCCTCCTCCACACATTGATCACCGAGCGCGAACGAATCACTGATTAGTCAGTGATTCGTTGTCCGCGTAATCTTGGAGCTGTGCGCGCGCAGGGCGGGGTCTCCGGTCAGAGGTGGGGGGAGATGAGCCGGAGGACCGTGTCCTCACAGCGAGTGGTCCACGGAACCGGGTGGTCGTACCCCTGCAAACGGTCTAAACTCCAAAGACTCCATGCCTGGGCTCACGGAGGCGCACAACGCCTCCGGGTGGTGCAACCACAGCCGGGATTACGCACCGCCGGACTTCCGCTCCGTGCTGCCTCACGACCCGGTGGTCGTGCTGCTGATCATCGTTTTGGTTCTGATGACTCTCTTCTCGATAGTCGCCAACGTGCTGACCCTGCTCAGCATCGGCAGCACGGACGACCTGACCTGGCAGCCGCGCTTCACCTTCTGCCGGAACCTGATCATCAGCGACCTGCTCCAGACCCTCACCTTCGGTCCTCCGGTCATCTACCTGCTGGCCAATCGCCAGACGATGCCGTTCGGCTTCTGGTGCTACGCCCAGTACTTCGTCGGGGGGGTCAGCATCTTCTGCAGCCTGGTGACCATCACCTGCATGGCTCTGGAGCGCTACCTGTTCATCTGCTACGCGCTCCGGTACGCGGTCATCCTCACCGACCGGCGCCTGCGCGCGGCGCTGGCCCTCATCTGGCTCTACTCCGTGGCCGTGACCACCGCGGCCGTGGCCGTTTTGCTGCTGGAACCGGGGGAAGAGGGCGGCGACGCGCGCATGTTCTCGCTCCTGTGCGAGCCGGACACGCTGGAGAAGCACCTGGGCTCCCCGCGCGCCTCCGTCCAGTTCCGGAAGGCCATCGGCAGCCTGACCCTGCTGCTGTGCGTCCTGGCGCACGTCTTCTCCTATCACAAGATGTACAGGATGGGCGTCCGGGCCGTGGCCCCCTTCAAGGCGGCCAACGTGAAGGCGCGCAACACGGTGGGCTTCTACTGCGCCATGCTGCTCCTGCAGCTGCTGCCGGCCATCTCGAAGGTCACGGCCGACGCCGTCCGGGATCTCGGGGCCATGGAGACCCCCGGGTCACCCTCCGAACCGTGCGGCGCGGAGCCGGCCCTGTCCTCCGCGGCGGCCTTCCTCCACGTCGCCTTCCTGGTCAGCCTCCAGGTGCCGCCGTGCATCAACCCGCTGGTCTACGGCGTCAAGAACGTGGAGATCCGCCGGGCGCTGTCCAAGATGTTCCGCTGGCGCCCCGCGGACCGGTTCCGCGTCCAGGCCCCGGCGGAGGGGATAAGGATGAGGAGCATCGCGAAGTAAAAGCGAGCCGTGGACCCAGAGAGAGAGCACGCGAGAGCTGCAGGGGCCCTTAAATGTTTGGTTTTTGGAGGATGCTACATTGTGTAAAGCCATGACACCACTGATTGTTTTAGAAAACCGTGTTTTGAGGAGTAACCATTCCACTTGATGTACTGTTGCTTGGGTGTCGTTTTCCCTCTGTTTTGAAGAAGCGCTGCACCCCAAAATCCTACAAAAAAGGATGTAAAGAGGCCGAAATGCCCATAAGCTGCTAGTGATCTCTTTCTAATGTCATCCTTAAAAAAATTATTGGTCTGAATACTGAGATGGATCAGTCTGATGGCTGATAAACCATGGTGAACTGTTTTTGTTTACTCGTTACTATTGTAAAACACAAAATGTAGGAAAATAATATGTATTATTTAAGCCGTTATTGGGTCTGTTTCTATTGTGTGTTCAGTGTTAAAATTGTGATGTCTAAAACTTGACGTTTTGTGTGGTTTCGCTTAATAACACAGAACTTACGTCATTAGTGATTATTAGTGGTTGTCAAATCTAAAAATATGTGTGTTATGTAGCTACAAAAATACATTAATTTCAGTCGCTGAAACCGTTTCTCATCCTAAGGATGCAAAAACTCACTGGTGCTTACAATCAAAAGTTGAACTCAGGTTTGATTTCCACATTTTCACACCTGATTAACGGAGCTGAACCCCATAGTCTGAGGAACTCTGCAGGGAAAAAACGGAGATAAATGGATTACAGGCGGCCTGTGAATGTTGATGTCTTGACATGTTACTAAATATTTTGTCTCTCAGTGAAAAACTAAGTCTGTACCTCACACTGTCTGTAAAACTAATTAAAAAACAATCTCTTGAGAAAAGACCCTTGTCGCCTTTTGTGTGGTGAATGCATGAGAAAATGGTATTTCATTTTCACCTATTATGAAGTATGGAATCTGTAGCCAAACAGAGGAAACAAATACAACACAGTTATAAAATGGTTTTAGTGGTTAAGGTAAAAAGAAGTACTTAGCAAGAATGGACAAGAAAACAAAACCACATGCAGTAATAGAGATCTGATTAAGAACTACAGAAACCGCTAACCTGGACACCAAAATCAGCAGTTGATTAAACTATTGGAGGAAAAGATGAGCTTTATCCCTTTAATGCCAAATGTATCATATTTGATGCATGCGGTTTCTGAAATGTTTTGCGTCTGACACCTTTTGCATAAATTAATGGTAAAAACTTTGCTCAAAATCCTATTGTACACCATCAGATACACCTGATAACAGGGGGCAGAAGACTACACAAAAAAGAATCTTGACTATACATATTTTGTTAAAAGGCCAAATAAGGAACTCAGACAAAAAAAAAGGAATTATCTGTTTTGTTTTATTCTTAGATCAGGCTTTAGTTTAAAGGGTTACTAAGGCAGCAGCACAAACAGCTATTTCAACAAAAGCCATCAAATCTTAAAAAGGGAGGTCTCAACACGCTGAACAATGGCATTTATTAGCATTTCAGAAACAAAAGCAGGGACTTTTTCTTTAAGAAGTCTTTACTGAGTTTGAAACAAAGTTTGCAACGCTCCTGATCCCCTCATCTCTCCTGTTAGTCTGGCAGAAATCTACTCATAATGTCCTGTCAAGTTCTCTCTCCTCAGGACCGGTCTGTCTCAGCCTCTCCCTGACTGGGATCTTCATCTGATTGGCTGGTTGAGTTGACTCTCTCTGGTTGAGGCCTGACGTTAAAAAAGCAGATTCTGGATATGATAATGTGCGGGCAGCTTCCTTTAACTAGCCTGGAGACGACCGGTGGAAGTCGCTAAAGTTCCGTCACGTGCACGTTGGCTTTGAAAAACTTTGTGAGGGTCCGAGCGTTAATGTGGTCGGTTTCAGCCTTTATTTGCAGTTAACTGGACGCCTGTATGCCCACTGGTGCCTCATTTATCACAGCACTGATATATAATTGATCTAACATCTTAATAGACCAGGACATGAACGTCCACATTTCTTCAGGGTGGTTGCTATGGAAATGAAGATATAACTATGAATTGAGTGAAACGATTTTCATTGCCAAATAGCGAAGGACTTTAAGTCATTAGTTTGAGATACAGGATTTAAATCAGTCTATTGAGCTGAATACAGAAGATAGGCATAAACCCAAACCTGAAAGAATGAATATTCACTTCAGGAGGGAGAAAATATGTACTATATATTCAATTTAATTGAGTCTGTCTATATATATATATATATATGTATGTGTGTATATATGTATGTGTGTGTGGCTGGCTGTCTGTTTATGATTGTGGAGTTATCAGTGTCAGCTAACCTTTACTAAGGTTTGAATGATTGTTTTTCAGTCTCAGAGCAGCTTTGTTCCCTTTTATTGGCACAGCCTCTCCTCTGATTGGGCAGACACAGACTCTAAACTGCTGAAACAGGGCGAGGTAATTATCCCTGCCTCCATGGATCAGTCAGACACTCCTGAATAATCACACACCTCCCAAATATAATCATGAGGGCAACTGTGTACAACAGCCGCACGGTTTAACTGAAATGTATGAAAATGATTTCAAGTGTGACATTTGCCCCTTTTCACATCTGACATTTCTCATTCAGGGCTTCGTGCCGAGGCGTGGAGGTTACCAGGGATCCACATTCCACAGAATAGCACTCTCAGCCATAGCACCGAAAAGGCAAGCAAGCCTAACAGGTTTGGTTCACTCCGAACCAAACTATGACGCAGTCGGGACATCTTTAATGAACAGCCGAAATAAAGAAGCTCAGCTTTTTGTGTGTTCCTTTTGCCTTTATTTACCAGACCGGGACACCCCCTTGTCTGTAGTTTGGGTTGGAGTTCATTGCTTTTTTTTAGCTACGTGCACAGAAAGAAAAAGGAAGTCAACTCTGTTGAAATGTCGGTAAATTGATTGTGTTTATTTATCGCATTGTGGTAGAATGAGGAAGTCCCGGACTCCAAAAAAAGGAACGGGCAGGGTCACAACGTGAGGCAGGTGCAGTTCCACCCAGGCTGAGCTGTCACAAGACTCGGCCATTCTCTCCCTTTTCTTATCTCCTTACTTTAGATTTGTTTTCTATTAATACAGAGATCTTAGCATTAGGTTGATTTTTTTCTTTTCTAGTAGCTCCGAATCCGATTTTGTCAGGTTTTTTCTGAGTTTTTCCACCTTGATGACCACACGCTGAGAGCTGTTTTATCACAGATGGCGACCCCCAGCTGTTCGGACAACGTCCTGAAGTTTATCTGTGAGTTCCAGCAGGAATCTGGCCCCCTGCGGGAGCGTGGCCACGGAGGCGACGGCGTCTGTGTGGATGATGAGTCGCTGTGTGTTTTTCTTCCTGCACAGTGCAGCGTCCACCAGCTCCGTGCACACATCTGCATGCAAGTACGTGTTCCCCATGAGAAAAGGCGTGATTTTCAAAGCATGTTGAGAAAGATATGCATCTATCTTTCATGTCGGTTTAAAATAAGACTGCAGAAAGGCTTTTCTTTGCCATCATGTTCATGGTGCATTATGACAATTTATTGTGTTATATTAAAAAATCTCATTTTAAAATGTTGTGTTAACTTGCTGTTTTTAGATTTAATTGCACAAGTGAACATTTCAAAGTGCATAGTGTTAACCCGATTCTTTAGTTGGAAACCTGAGAATATACCAGAGTAGATCAAAAGTACAAAAATAACATTTATTGGACACAGTTTAGATTATCATCTGGGCTCTGACAGGCAAAAACCTCTCTCTGGGTCTCAGTGGGCAAAGAGAGTTAAATTAGAAATTATCTCCTGGGCTCGATCCGCCTCCTCAAAGGAGGACTGGACACAACCAAGTCCTATTGGCCAGTTACCTCTGGGCCTGAACAGGCCAGGTCCTAATTCATATTGATGACATTGGAATGTGGTAACAAATCGTGTGTTTGTGCGTTGACCTAAAGGCGGTTTCATGGCCTTTTAATTTTTCTTAACCATATTCTTCCAACAAAAAAAGGCCGTCGGTGGCAACAGGTGGGTTTTGATTTTGACGCACTTTCCTTTATTTCTTTGTAACATTATAAGGAAATAACAACCAAAATTCCATTATAACTTTGTTGCAAATAAAAAGTAACAAAGGTGATCCAAAAGGTAAAACAAAAGTATAGCCTGTAGCATGGTCAAAAGATTTTTGTCCGCAAACCTCCTGTCATCACACCTGACATTCCCCCTACAAACCGCAACCCCCTCCAGATATACCCTGGCTGTTTTAACTCTTCCAAATTAATGGGAGGAGCTTGGAAAATTACCAAATAAATCCTAACAATTAAATTCAAAATGATTCTGTGCAAACTAAAACATATTTTAACTATTTAAAATTAAACAGAACATGTGAATGACAAAAAGTTAACTTAAATGGCCACAACAGGTGGATCTAATGCAACAGAGAAAGAAAAAGAGAGAAAAGAGAGTCTGTGGACACAGCCAGAGACTTTAACACAAAATATAGTTCTATAAGAAAATAAAACAATCAGAAATTTACAAATGCTAAAGGGAGTATTTATTGCCAAATTCTAACAATAGTTACAAGACTTCTTTTCCGGCGTCTCTGTGCCTTCAGGCCCAGGAACAGAATTGCCACCCGGACCCGTTGGCAATACTGGATCCCAAGCAGCACACCCTGCTGTATCACCGAGGGGACGACTGGTACGAGGCCTATGACGACTGTCAGGTTGTCGGGACTTTAGACATCCCATGGTCCCGGGACGAGTCTCAGGCTCTCCTGGCGCACGTCGTCGTCAAAGCCCGTGCGACTGTAGATTCAGAGGAAAAGAGGAGACAGCAGAAGTGTTTGACGTACCTCATTGGTCACGACCTGGAGACGGAAGCCTCCGACAGACTCGGGGAGCTCACGTTCACCCGCAGGAAACTGGCGTCTGTGAGAAAGCAAGAGATAAGGGACCGGGTGGAGGTGGCGTACGCCACAGAGCCCTGGATAACACGTGCCCCGGTCCCGGACGATCTTCAGGACTGGCTCCACAGAAAGCTTCCTGTCACCTTCCACTACATGAACAAGATCAGCTTCAGCGTGCAGGTGGACTTGAACGCCACACCGGATATTCTTCTTCAAGTTTTCCAACGGGTGATTGCGGACCAGATGCTCGAATGTGACACCTCCGGTGGTCTGGTGTTGAAAGTTTCTGGCCGGGAGGAGTTTGTCTCCGGCGAGCACAGGCTCTTTGAATTCCTGTGGGTTCGGCAGTGTCTGAGGGCCAGTCAGGACCTCCACCTGTCCGTGGTTCCTCTGTCCCACCTCCCATCGGAGGCTGTCAGGTTTCTGGACTGGCCGCTGGTTGACGGTTTCAGTGGGCAGTTTAGGTCCCACAACGATCTCCGTCTCCAAGGGAAGGACTTGGACGACATCTTCATGATATCCTTGTGGGACTGCAACAGACGGTTCAGAGTCAAGTTGTTTGGCTTCGATATTCCAAAAATACCAAGCAAATGCCCCCAGGCTGTTTACGTCGAGGCGTCCTTGCTTTACGGCAATAAGGTGCTCTCATCGGTTTTCTCTGCTCCAAAGCCCTTTGCGGATGAGGTGCTGTGGAACGAATGGCTGGACTTTGAGGTTCTCCTCAGCGATTTGCCTCGAGGAGTCAAGCTGGGTCTTACTATTAATACATCTACAAGTGATATCTCCCCAACAGCCAAAGAGCCAAAGCAAACATCGTCCAGAGGTGGAAAAGCGCCATCATTTTCAGTCAACAAGTCTTCAGAGCCACAGAAAGGGAGAGGAAAGGTGCTCTACTTCGTCAATCTTCTCCTCATAGATCACAGGTGAGCCATTTAAAAGGGGGCACGGAGAATTTTTTCTCAGATGTGGACAGTTGAAGCTCTTTTTTTGCATTGTTTTTTGGCTTTTCTGTGAACTTCAAATCTCAACATGGGTTAGTTCCATTAACATCAGATATCAGTTCTCTAATCTACCAGTAGAGAACAAATAACTGTGACATAATACCTGAGTCATATGGACACAAAGAAGATGTAAACATATCACTTAGTTTAGCTTACTTTGCTTCTCTGTGTCAATTTTGACGAACGTCATCTGACTGTGGGGTGTGTGTCCAGTTTCCCTGTTTGTGCTGGTGACCAAACATAGAGTTGTACCATAAACATTTCCTTGATAATTCATGGAATTCGAGGGTAATGACCAACCACTCATCTCCACAGATCTGTTCTCAGCCAGGGTCCCCACACCTTGCACATGTGGTCGTACCCTGATGTGGAGGAAGGGGCCGTTACCTACCAGGCAGACAAGCTGTCCTCTGCCACTAACCCGGATCTGGCAAATTCCATGGCTATCAGCATCTTTCTTGACCGTTACAGTTTCCCCGTCGTCCTGCCAAACACTTTCAGCCACAACGACAACCCTGACCTTTCCCCGGCCCGGGAACCGTCCCCCTCCCCCTGGACTCACTCGTCCACGTCGGATTCTTCTTCCCTGCTTGTGGAATCTCGTCAGGATCCATCAGCTGATGCAACCCACCTCACATCCCCATCAACGGCGCTCCACACCAAGAGGGCTTGCCTCACTCGGTTCCGGCAGGAGAGCGTCCAGTACGCCTCCAACCTGCCGCGCTTCCTGCGCAGCGTTGACTGGATGGACCGCAGAGTGGTTGAGGACGTCCATTGGCTGCTGGGGAACTGGGACCCAAGGGAGCTGGATTTGACCGTGGCCCTGGAGCTGTTGAGCATGGACTTTGCTGATGAGCGGGTCAGACGGCTGGCGGTTCAGAGGCTGGAGGGCCTGTCCAATGACGACGTACTGAAGTATCTGCTGCAGCTGGTGCAGGTAAGTCTGATACACAGAAAGATTAGAAAGATTTAAGCAATACATTGCTTTTGCTTATTTTTTACCACCAAAGTAATGTATTTAAATAAAAGGTTGGATTTTTCTCTTTTTTCTGCATTTGGATTCCATTTTGTTTTTAAAAAAAATGAGAATTTCTAGAAGTCCTCAACTACATCTTAAACAGGGGTGCCAATAATTGTGGAGGGCACTGTAGGAAATAACTGCACAGTTGGAGATATTTATTCAAACACACAGAATAAAACAGCTTGTCTGCTTTTTTCCTTTTTACACCTCTTTTGTGCAAACTACATGATAACACATTTTTCTCTAATTTGTTTATTCTTAGACCCTGAAAGTGGAACCTTACCATGACAGTTTCCTTGCTCGGTATCTCATCCAAAGAGCTCTGCGGGTGAGTCACACAATGTCCATTAACCACATGGGTTGGTGGTGAAAAATCATTTGATGTTGCTATTTCTTATTCTTTGGATATTAAATGTATTTATAAGCGTCTAAAACAACTTGTAAGCTCGTGTTTCACTGGAGTACAGGGAATTAGCAAGGTCAGGTAAAATAAAGGGGGTGCAAGTTCTGTTTCTAACAAAGTGCCAAACAAAAGATGACTTCAAGAAACACAGGAACTCTCCATTCTGTCATTTATTCAATGACATGAACCCTGATATGATCATCTGCATTATTACAAGGCGGCAGACTGGAGGTTCGTGTTGACTGTGTTCCCCCTTTATGTATCATGTACAATAGCCAAAGCCATATGTTGCATATCTACATAACATACAGCTGTACAGGAATGATTTCGTTTTGTTAAATTAGAAAAGTTTAAAAGAGGATCAAAGCAATTGCTGTGCACAGGAGGTTTGCAACAAAGTTCTGAGCCGGTTCCACGTTTCACTGCAGAGTAAGAGGATCGGACACTTCTTCTTCTGGTACGTGCGCAGTGAGGTGGCGGGGTGCCCCTACTTTCGCCAGCGCATGGCCTTGATTTTGGAGGCCTACCTGCTGGGCTGTGGCCAGGCCATGATCGACAGCTTCTTCCAGCAGGTCCAAGCCGTGAACGTCCTGCAGGAGGTTGCTGTAAACATTAAGGAGCTTTACCCAGATAAAACTGACCTCCCGTCAGCAGGTAGGGACACTTTGCTGATTTGTCGTTTCTCAGACTGAACTCAGAGCCACAGCAGGTGTGCCAGGGGTGGATAAGTCACAACTGTGCTTATTTACAGGACACTGCCAGGATAAACGTGCCCAAAAACCCAGATATTCAATATACAAATGAGCATGTAAGTCCGGCTGATTCCTGAAAATAGGCTTCTGGACTCAAAATAAGCCTTAAAGGACAAGGTTTTCTTTTTTAGCAGAGGCAAGAGAAGGTTAATCCATTCCTGCTTTTGTGAGAAACAATTACTCTCATGAACAGTTTGTTACTTCTTCTTCCTTTACTGTGTAAATCAAACACTAAAATAAACCCGAAGAGGAAGAAAGAGTCACCACATTAAATCAAATAATCACCAAACACTGTCGGCCTGCTCCTGTCTGCTGTGCGATCATTGTATGACTTTATGCGAACTACTCAGTTTAGATTCGGAATGTGTTTAAAGATTAGCATTAAAAGTCATGTGGTTAAAGTTGGGAAATTGTCGTTCTTTAATTATTGTGGACACTGAACTGGGTCTGTGTGAGTGCATTTAAGTGTCAGTCAAATGTGAGTTTACCTGCACCCCCTTTGACATTTGCCATCATCGTAAACAGACATTTCAGACGTACAAATTTGAGTGTTTGAAGCACTTGCTACAGACGCGGGTAATGCTGAGTCCCCCGGGGTTATTTTCTGGTTGGCCGATAAGCTCCAGGTTTAGAGTTGCCCTTAATATTCAACGGGACATCCAATTCACAACCACATTTGGAATCACAGGTGGGTTTGAGAGGCATACCAGCTGCTCATCGACCAACATGAATAAAGACACACTCTTACACTTACGCTTTGACACACAACCCACGCAGCCACAAAGGTTGTGAGTCACTTAAGCTAACCTCCAACAGCTGCTACTTATTAGCAATCCTCAGGATGCATTGTAAAGAATCAAGTACCTTTGTTCATTAATTAATTGTTTGGACACTTCTAAACCCATTTGTTTTTTTTTTTCTTTTCCTTTTTTGCTGTGTCCTGATTGCCAGCTCCACTCAGGCTGAGGGAACTACTCAGTCAGAAGAAACTGCCGACTGAATTCTTGCTGCCGTTTGACCCCCGCGTAAAAGCTGGAGGGATCCTGGTAGGTCTCACTATTCTGCTGTCTTACGTTTTTACTATATTTTGAGTTATTTGTGCTTTATCTTCATTTTTACCAACAACCCTGATTATAAATAATGTCCTTAAAATGCAAAACAGACCTAATCCTGATTCATAGTTGACTATTTCCTCCTCACGATTTATCTTATTAAAAAAACTTAATTTCTTCATTCTCCACTATGTCCATGAAATGGATAGTCTTTTTTTATATATATATAAAAATGACACATTTCAGGAGATTTATCTTCATTTTTACCAACAACTCTGATTATACAAACTGTCCTTTAAATGAAAAACAGACCTTATCCTGATTAATAGTTGACTATTTCCTCCTCAGGATTTATCTTATTAAAATAACTTAATTTCTTCATTGTCCTCTATGTCCATGAAATGGATAGTCTTTTTTTTTATATAAAAATGTCACATTTCAGGAGATTTTATTCAATAGAAAAGTAAACAACCATCAAATTCTAAAGTGCTGCAAATGGACATTTTTATGTATTAACTTTTGACAGAAAAAAAATAGTTGATTTAGTGAAAAGATAATCCTTTGTACAATTAAGTGTATGGTACATGGTATCCAAAATAGACACAAATAGATCCAAAATAGATAATAAATGTTGATTTTTTGTTTTGTTTTGGGAAGTGATTAAAAGAATGATCCATCACCATTTTTTTCCCCCAGAATAATTTGGTTTAAAACCCAAAAAGTGGAAACTCTGTTTGGCCTTTCTGTTTTGTTAATATTGGAGACGAGCTGCAAAAGCCGACGTGTTTGTCAGCATCTATAGGTGAGACACGGGCAAATCCACTCTTTTCTAATCCCTCTGACACAGCTGGACAAATGCAAAGTGATGGCCAGCAAGAAGAAGCCGCTGTGGCTGGAGTTTTCCCCGATGCCGTCGCCCTCCTCCTCCACACCTGTCGGAATAATCTTCAAAGAAGGGGACGACCTCAGGCAGGACATGCTGGTCATTCAGGTCGCAGATCGTTCGGCTAAAATCCTCAAAGCTGTTTTCTATCCAATAGAACTTGAGTGTTTGTCTCTTCTCCTTTTTAGACACTGGTGTTTATGGACTCCATCTGGCAGGAACAATCTCTGGACCTTAACCTTTTGCCCTATGGCTGCATCTCCACAGGACACAACATAGGTATCAAAAGGGTCCAGTTTTTGTTGGCCTCGGTAAAAAATTCTACGATTCTCATCGTGTCATTAGTTGGACACTTGTCCCATCTCTCACCCAATCACGGTTGGCTTGGGCTCCAGATTGGCCACCTACACTGATTTGGAATCATTGGGTATAAAAGATGGATGGATGGATTCTGTCTCATGGTCTCAAGCTACATTTTTAGAGCCATTACGTCCTTTTTGAAACTGGTTGGGTGCTTTTGTGATAAAAGGAATCTGGTGTAAACTCATTTCTTTCTTGCTAGCAACAGGGACGTGACATCTAAAAGATGTTTTTATAAAGTAAAAAAAAAAAAAGGTTGTGGAAAACCGCCTTCAATCAAAATTTTTTTGACAGGTATGATAGAAATTGTGAGAAATGCAGCAACAATTGCTGCAATCCAGAGGAGCCACGGAGGGACGACCGCGGCCTTTAGAAACGATGCCCTGTTCGAGTGGCTGAAGTCCAAGTGCCCGCTTCAGGAAATAGTGAGTAATATGTCGAGCAAAGACATGACTCCGAGTCATATTCGCAGCAGAATTTGGAACCACGTTCAGGTCAGATTTGAGCGCATGACAGCTTGATATTTTCAGGCCTTCTGGCCAGTAATTTTTAATTTTTAAATTTGAAAAAAAGACTGGAAAACAAATACAAGTTTTAGTGTTTCCGATCTCATCATATATACTTCGTCAACTTTTTTTTTTTAAATTCTACTTTATAGGTTTAACAAATCTCATTCCAATTCATGTTTTAACACTTGTTGAATTGACGATAAAACTACTTGGATCATAAAGAGAAGCAGTTGGGATCAGAGATGCCTTCTGTCTCTTTTCTCTTCATCCAACGGTCAAAGTTTTGCTGGCAAGTAAAGCTGGAATTAAGAGTAAACAGTTGGTAAATCATGTGGTAAATCTTCAAACCGAATCACCACATCAGGGTGTTAATCATTTGTAATTCAGGCAATGTTGCATCTCAGGAAAAGGTTTCATAAACGTCACCTGTCAGATATTTCATGACTTTAATCTTCAATATATTTACGAAATGACTTGTTTAAAAAAAACATCCCATCTCACATTCAAAGAGCCAACAGACATTAGAAAAGCTGCTCATCAGGAGGCTGATCTCAGACGTGTGTACTTCAAGTGCGCCGCTCGTTGGCTCGGATAAAGTCACTTTCAATATTTCCGCCAAAGCAAAAGTTATTATGGTTTTATGGGCTCCAGCAGAAAAAATGCCAGAGAGTTGAACGCATCCCCATAAACTTCTTTAACTGCAGCACTTCAGGACGGTGGAGCGGTTTGTGAAGTCCTGCGCCGGCTACTGCGTGGCCACCTACGTCCTGGGAATAGGAGACCGGCACAACGACAACATCATGATCACAAACCAAGGTGCACGGCACAAAACCCCCACCCCCTGATCTGGATTTAAAGCAACAAACTAGCTAAAAATACCACGATGTGCAGTTATTTATGCGGAGGTCGTATCTCTTTAACCATATAATGCCAAATGTATCATATTTGATACGGTTTCTGAAGTCTTTTGCATCATTCAGTGGTAAAAGCTTTGCTCAAACCCCTGTTGTACACATTCAGATATACCTGATAACAGCCAGTAGAAGACTAAACCAACATATATTTTTGACTTATTGCACGCTAATTTGATCAAAATAATTTAAGTTTTTTTTCTTCATATGTTGTTGAGGGGCCAAAGAAAGACTTCAGACTAAAAAAAATCCAATATTCTTCCTATTTTTCCTGGATCAGGCTTTAAAGGGTTAAGAATAAACGTAAAAGATTGTAAAGTGATGAATGACACCGTTAGACCATTTGATGGACATCGTGTCATGTGACCCTGCAGGGAACCTGTTTCACATCGACTTTGGTCACATCCTGGGCAACAGGAAGCACTTCCTGGGCTTTAACCGGGAGCGGGTGCCGTTCGTCCTGACACCCGACTTTCTGTACGTCATGGGGAGGGTCAAAGGTCGGAACAGCCTGTACTTCCAGCGATTCCTGGTGAGTAGTACGGTGGCCAGGAGGTGCAAACCAAAAGGCAACTGATTTGTTCTTTTCTTTAGTTAAAATACAGCATGCTCTTGTGGGAACTAACACCAGAGCAGTCACACTATTTTTTTTTTAGTTTCATTTTTAGTCAGAGTTATTCTTCCTTCTTTTATTTAAAAGTGTTTTTTTTTTTTTTTTTTACCTTGTCCTGTTCATCATTATGGCAGCAGAAATAAAATCTAAGTACCAAAATAGCTTTTCCAAGGGAGGCTTTGTTAGTGAGAAGCCCCAATTGATTACCCAAAACTGTTTTATTTATTCATTTTTGTTACCAAAATTACATGTGTCCAATAATGAGAGCAGTGGAAAGGAGAGAGATCCTTTAGACAGACAGAGAAAGGGGAAAAAAAGAAAGACAACAAGACCGTACAACCAACTGCCATGTCTGTAAAAAGGACACTGATCCTTTTGGGTGGAGAACCCGTAGGAGCTCCTGCAAAAGGACACAGGGAAGACAAAAGAACAAACAAAAGCAACAGGAAGCAGGAACAATCATCAACTTCTCTGAATTGTGCAACTGAACAGAGTTATGGTTCCTTCTTAAATGAAAAAATCATCTTTACTTTTTGTAAGTTCGAGTACTTATTCAGGAAAATACGCTTCCACTTTTAGCCGTCGCATAAATGGATGGATGTAAATAACAGCTCGGCCTGCTCTGTTTGTTGTGTTTCACACTTGCTTTCAACCTTTGGACAAACCGTTCTAAAACACCTTAAACAGTTTCTTAATAGTTCCCAGTCATGCACTCAAATCTTATTGTTGTGATGTCATTAACTGAACGTGTGTTTATGTGTTTTGACTGATATTGTATTGCGGGATCTTGTGTTGTTTTCTCTTCCTGCCTCAGGTCGACAGATGTAAATTAGCAACTATGCTATAATCTGGCTCATTTACAATCTGTACAAAATCAAAACATGGAATACATTACCTGCAGAACTGAAGGGAGAGTCAAACTGGGTCCTTTTTAAACATAAACTTAAAGACTTTTTATTGAGAGGTCAGACATGTGGACATTAATAATCTAACTGACCTGATCTTGTATCTGTGATGTTTTAGTGTGTGATTTGTCACTGTGTTTTGTGTCAAAGCCTAACTGGGGACAGGCGTTGAGAATTAGCCTTTGCTAAAATGCTGTAGTGTGTGACATGTTTCATGAAACATACTTGTCTCTATCAAATACAGGACTGTCTCAGAAAATTAGAATATTGTGATAAAGTTCTTTATTTTCTGTAATGCAATTAAAAAATCATGAAATGTCATACATTCTGGATTCATTACAAATCAACTGAAATATCGCAAGCCTTTTATTGTTTTAATATCGCTGATTATGGCTCACAGCTTAAGAAACCCAAATATCCTATCTCACAATATTAGAATATCGGATTTTTGAGTTTTCTTCAGCTGTACGCCATAATCGGCTACGTTAAAACAATAAAAGGCTTGCGATATTTCAGTTGATTTGTAATGAATCCAGAATGTGTGACATTTCATGATTTTGAATTGCATTACAGAAAATAAAGAACTTTATCACCATATTCAAATTTTTCTGAGACAGTCCTGTAAATAAAACAAAATAAAAATAAATACAGGAGTAAAAGATTGTTCATTAAAGTGCACTGTGTCCTGATTAAATAAATAAATGAATAAACGCCTGCCCCCGACAGGACACCTGCACCCGGGCCTACCTGTCCCTGCGGGCCCACTCCCACCTGCTGGTCACGCTCTTCTCCCTCATGCTGCTCACGGGCATCCCGGAGCTGAGCGCCGCCGAGGACATGCGCTACCTGCGGGGGGCGCTGCAGGAGGAGCAGAGCCCGGCCGAGGCCCGCCAGCACTTCCTCCAGCAGGTGTCCGCGTGCGAGGACCGGGGCTGGACCGTGCAGGCCAACTGGTGGATCCACATGATGGCCGGCATCAAGTAGACTCCTCGGTCTGGGCCCCCAACGGGGATCAAATGTTTGTTTTTCTTGGATTGAGGAAGCCATTTGTTTTTCTCTGTTTACCTTAGAGACTTCTTTTTTTTTTCCTCTCTTAAACATTACGTCAAACTGCAGATATGTAGCCTCAACCCTCTCTGAAATCTACATATAATAGGAATTAAAGGAAATAGGGGAAATCCTAACACCTCACAGAACACGGTAAAAAAGGAAATAGGTCATTTATGCATGATTGTTAAAAAAAATAAGTATCATTTTTTTCTGTAGGCCTTCAATAAATTGCAGCATTCTGAAAATGCCAACAAAACCAAGCTCCTTCTTTTATAAGCAATAAAACATGTGCATTTATTTATGCAGAGGTCGTATCTCTTTAACTCTATAATGCCAAATGTATCATATTTGATAGATACGGTTTCTGAAGTCTTTTGGATCTGAGACTTTTTGCATCATTCAGTGGTAAAAGCTTTGCTCAGACCCCTGTTGTACACATTCAGATATACCTGATAACAGCCAGTATAAGACTAAGCCAAAATATATTTTTGACTTATTGCACGCTAATTTGATCCAAATAAATTCTGTTTTTTTTTTTTCTTCATATGTTGTTGACGGGCCAAAGAAAGACTTAAGACTAAAAAAAATCCAATATTCTTCCTATTTTTCTTGGATCAGGCTTTAAAGGGTTAAATGTAGAATCAATCTCTGACTGGTTTATGACACGCTTTGGTTTGAAACAGGAGGCGTGCATGGCTAGTTTTACAGAGAAACTAAGATATCAAAACTAAGGTGCACGAGAGGGAAGATGGCCACTAAGACACTAAAGTTAACCGAGTTCAATTACTCTGGAATTTATGGACGAAGCTGTCCTCTCATTTATAATTAACGATGCATCAAAGGGGCGAGTGCAGTGTGCCCGGGGTGGACATATCGAGAATGAGTTTGACCCAATTATTTGTCCATTTTGAGCGTTTAGTGCACTCTGAGTGTGTCTGAAAATTATCAGCAATATGAGCCATTACAATCCAGCAGGCCGGAAATTGCCAACACAACCTTGAAGGCACCACATGTTGAGTAGAAGAACTGAATTCAGGACGATGAAAAGGGAAGATTGGCCTTAATACCTCTCCCACGAGTCAATTTAAGGGGCCTTACAGTTACATTACAGCATAAAGAATTATCATCAGACAAATTAAAAGTGAGGAGTGAAGATGTAATACCTCCAATATTTTGAAATAACCAAAGAAAAGAGTTACGGCTGAGGATTCCCACATTTGAAAAGCAGGGCCATGGTGGAAGTGCTTCATTTCTACAGTGTTTGGGTGGATTCCAACGAACTCATCAAGCAAAATAAAAAATCCAAAGTCAACATTTGGAGCTATTGATGCTTCTGTTCCACAGATATGTTCTGTTCTATGTGGACACGAGCATCACATACTAAGTGTTAATCATTTGGAAGACATTTTGGATGGAAATATGTCCATCCAGACTTTCAATGACCGGACAGTTCATGGAAAAATATTAGACATTTTTCGAGGTAATTCGGCTCAGGTCTTTAGATCTATTTTTAACCATGTACATTTGTTTTTTTGTATGTTTTGATGTAATGCTTTGGTGCTTGTATTTCAGGACAGTCCTCCTAAGTGGTTGATAATAATGGATTCCAGCCATTCCTGGGCTTCTTTTTGCTCAAGCTGCCCTCCTAATGCTGCACTTCAAGGATACTTTTCTGTCCTAATGTGTGTCTTTATCTCATGTTTCTTTTAGTTCAAACCTGCTCGAGCGTAAAAAACATTTCTTTGTTTAGACTGATGCTTGCTATTGACATGTCCCTAAAATGGAAAAATAAAAGAATGCACCAAGGACTTCGGTGGTGGTTTAACTCTCATGATCTATATTTTTATATTTCATGTCACTTATTACTTGACTATGAACAGTTAGTTCTGAACAAATGCAAACAAAAAACCATCTGCCGCCCTAATCTATATGGAAGCAGATGACAACCCCCCCCCCCCCCCCCCCCCCCCCGCACCACCACACAAAGATACTTCGTACAGCAGACTGTCCTTGTGGCTGGCGGCTGGTTGGGGACACGTGATATCGGTCAACTTGGCTGGCACCATAAAATGAGCTCGATGATGGAGACTGTCATCATCTTTTGATCATTCCCAAGGTACAAATCCTCCCCCCTTTAAGAGGATGAAACCGGTCCCATCTCTCCCTTAAAAATCCTGTTTGCGAATAAAAAAACACAAAACATGGATGTGGAATAAGAAATAGAACGCCTCTTGGATTATGCTGTGGAGATTCATAAATAAAAACTATTACAATTAATAGCACATTAAATAATCCTCATTCAACAAAAGCTTCAGTTATCATAAATCTGCCTGGCTAATTGTGTCCACGTGTGACTATTGAATCTACTATTTACTATTTAATCTGCTAAAATAAAAACGAAAAGTCTCCTCTTTGGTCTGCTCTGTCCAGATGAAATTGCTCCAGAAGTCTTCTGGTTTCTTATACAGATAAAACGCGTTACTGATGGGAGGAAGAGGCTTTCTCCAGGTAACTGTTTCAAATAATTTGCACTTATTCAGTTCTTTTCCAACTTAAGTCGTGGTTTTTTTCTCTCTGTGGAGCGATGGACTCTAGAGGGCGTGGAAGAGGCCTTGGAATCCACCTAGTTAGGCAGATGAGCAGTTTTTCTAAGGTTTTTGTTGATGTCTTTCCTCCTTGGCACTGTCAGACTGGTCAAACTTTCCCTTCTATGGAGGCCTTACAGTCTGAGTTCCAATCACCTGCAGCTACTTTATTCCCATGGAGGGAGATTTCCACTCACAGCTTCTGCGCTTTGAAGTAAAACATGAAAAAGAGGAAAACAGGATGTTTTGCCAAACCACTTTACGGTGAGACATCCTGTTAACAGTCATGGTTAACTTGGGTTTTCGGACCAGCAGCACCTGCGCGGGTGGGTGGGCTGAGCGGTGGGCTTGGCCTCGCCGGGGTGGAGCCCCACCTGTCCCTGCCTTCCGGGGCCGTCCCGTGAGGGGCCCTGCCCCGGTAACCCCTCCCCCCGGCCGGGGCCCGCGGCTCCGGGGGGGTTATCCGCCACCAGAACCGAGGACGGAGCTCATTCAGCGGGCGCGCAGCCGCGAGAGGACGGCCCATCCCGGGTGTGTGTGCGTGCGCGTGTGTGGGAGTGTGAGTGTGTGTGCGCGCGTGTCTGTGCAAGGGAGTGGGGGGGGGGGGGGGTGCACACGGAAAGCGAAAGGCAGAGAGGGAAATAGAGGGAAAAGCCCCCGAGCAGGTGAGCCATCCTTTCTAAGTTGCGCTTTTACGCATCGTCTGTTCGGTGGAAGCCACAAGAAGCGTTTCGAGTTCAGGCAATATTCCTGACGCCCAGTTCGGGTTTCCCGAGAGCAGCGAGTTTATTTGTGTCGTTAAAAAACAAACAATACAAAAAAAAACTAAAACAAAATAGGACCTGGTGTTGTTTTTTTATGTTTCTGTTTCAACCAAAATGGAAATATCTCCAGTTCTCTTTGCGCAGACGATCTGAGGAAGTGTTCCTGTGCTCTTCTGATTTTGAACTTTGACTATTGAAAACCTGGTGTTCCGGTAGGTGTCCCTGCCCCGGGGTGAGGTTTCTGTAACTTAGAGATGGGTAACAAAACCGAGCCCCATGACAAAGGTGTTGGTGTTCTTTTACTGAGAGCTCTGATGATTTTACCTTGCGCAGATATTCAGAGGAAGATTACATAATGAAAGGTTCAGTTACCCAGGTGACAGAAGTTGTTCATCATAGGTTATTTCTTATGTAAAAACACTGAAAAATACAAACTGACTCTCGCATTATAAAAGAATGAAAGAAAAAGAGCATTTTCACCCTTTCTGGGCTTATGCTTTTACACTTTCATTGGTTGTGTGGGCCTGCATTGTAATTAGCACCAAATAACCACGCGGGCACGTTTGAATCCCAACCAATATATATATATATATATATATATATATATATATATATATATATTTATATGCATTTAATAAATGGAGTGCCAGATCTTATTTGGCCGGAATTAAATACCCTGACCGGAGAAACCTTGGAATATTGATAGATTTTGTGTTTGGTACGTTACACAACTTTTTCTGCTTCTTAAGGCTTTTAGCAGATTTTACAACTTTGGATTTGCTTCACATAACCCAATAACGCCATCGGCATCATATCCGACACATGCGGTTTCTGAAATGTTTTGCATCTGAGACTTTTTGCATTATTTAATGGTAAAAACGGTGCTCAAAACCCTGCTGTGCACAGTCAGATAGACCTGAGAACAGCAGGCAGAAGGCTAAAAAACGACAATTTTGACGTATCGCATCGTAATAAATGCTGAATATACAGCAATGATTTCATTCTTTCATATAATTGAATATTATTCATATATTTTTAAATATGATCATATGTTGTTAGAGGGCCAAATAAAGACTTCAAACAAAAAAAGGGGTAATTTTCTCTTTTTTTTTCTTGGATTAGGCTTTAAGGGTTGAAACACAATTGGGAGATTTACTGTATAGCACCGTTAAACAAAGTAGGACCAGATGAATTCATCCATCCATTTTCTTGTTCTGGCTTTTTGGACTGGTGTTTGAAACCACCTGTTGCCATGGTGCCTGAGCGTTTCTCTGGTTTGTCCCCTCCCAGCTGGAGTCGTCGGTCTTCCCGGTGGTGGAAGATGTTGCTGGCTGCTCTGTGGTTGTCTAGTATAATAGGATTACATATTCATTAATTCATTTTGTGGGTTGACAGTTAATCTGACTGGGGCTCAATGTTTTGTGTCCATACTGGAAATAATGTCATTCTCATCTTTCGGGTTATTTCTAAAAGGGCAGATGTGGAACCGTGTGGATTTAGTGACTAAAATACCTTGTTTTTCTTTACGTTATTTGTCTTTTAGTCTCTGCTTTGCAGTGCACTGACAAAAGAGACAGACCGTCTCCAAGAATCATTTCGATATCTGTCACTTTCTCT